CATGGATCGGTACATCGGCCGACAAAGGCAGATGTTTGGCAGCCAAGGATCCCACTTATTCGCTGATCCTGAGACGCGCGGCTTAGGTCAGTGGATGTTTATGTCGCTGCGAGTCGAAATGTTTCTGCTGCAGTGGAAGAATGAGGGCTAGCTGTGGGGCCCGGTAGATATTTGTTGTGTTTTGTTTTGAAGGTCCTGATTTAAGTTTTGTCGTTCTATACAGTCTACAGCGTAGGGCTCGAACATAGAGAATCCTCCCAACCGAGTCTATTTGAGCTGTTTCAGGGCTGAGGCTATGGGCTTTGAGCCTGACCTTGAAGCGCAGTGAGAAGCTAACAATAGCCGTATTCGAGGCCTTTAAAGGAATCCGAAAACCACCCTTTAAGGGAACCCTAAACCCTGAAGACTCAATCAAGCAAACTGTTGCGCCGAACCTCAGAGACGCAGCTGAGACACGGTTCATGGCAAGCAGCTTTGTACCTAGAGCCGGAAACCTACTTATACCCTGAACCCCAAAAGTCTTACATAAGGTTCTGTGTGTGGGTTTGCCAGGGCAAGCAGTGTTTCGAAGGAAGCAGCGAAGCCGATGGTTTGGCCTAAGAAGATGGCTCCTCAGAATGCCGGCCTCTCCATAAGCATGCCTAAGTCTAAGAACATCCCCCGTGGTGGATCCTGGGTAAGTGGTATTCCGGTAAAGGTCAATCACCAGCGAAGTGGAAAGTCTTGAGGATGAACATGGAGAGGAGCCCTAAACTTGACGCCGTTTAACTTACAGCGGCCACGAGGCGCAGGTTTCGGTGGTTTCGGCTCCAGTGTGTCGGCTGAGGTGCTGGAGCACTTCCTGCGAGGAGTCCTGGTTGATGGAGAGGCTGACATCTCAGAAGGACTCCGGGGGAGCCCCCAGAACGAGAGAAACGACCTGAGCTGAAGATGGGACGATGAAAGGTTCCACCAGTATCCAAGAGCTGTAGAGCGATGAAATACGGAAGCCCTACCCTGAAGGGGACTGACAGGCTGACCCTTCAAATCCAGAAACAGCGACAGTACCACTTCCAAACCTTTGCCTGCCTTCTGCTCTTGAAGCCTTTTGGAGCCCCATACGGTTGATGATACAAATCCTGCATTACCTTCAGGACCCTAAACTATGGGAATTATGGTATATTCCTTATAATGGGTAATGCAGGATTTATATCATCAGCAGTACGTCTAATTTCTGTCTCGGATTGTTTAGCGAACACACTGAGAGCTCAATAAGCCGGCCCATATGGGCCAACACCCGAAATCCCGTAAACATACCTTGGTAACACCAAGCTCGGTGTCTTTCTTATTTTCTTTACTTTGGGGAGGGTGGGGTCCCAGCATCACGTCTTCCGGGCACGGTCTAGAACTCCGAACTTTCGAAAGGCTGAAAGGATCCCTCCACCTCAAACCCTGAAGCTTCAACGCGCCCCGGAGCCCTATCTATAGTCTCCTTCGTTGTTCCTGTTTTAAACTTTTGACTAGCCAGTTTGATGGCTAGGATCCTATGGTATAGATTTTGGTTAACCCCAAAAAAGGGAACTACAATAGAGACGATAGGTAAATCCTAAACCCTACAAGGCGAAGGCTGAGTCAGCGCGACATCGAGGCCTGGGGATCTATGCGAAGATGTACTCTAGGGGCCTGAATAAATGCTCATACTAGTACTATTTTTGATTAATATACCCCCCAAACCCTATTCTTGTTGTTAAGTTAAGCCCCCAATATTATAGTACGTAGTGCCATTTCAACGCTGGGTCTGACATGAACAGACCCATGGGAGTTTGCGGGGTTTGGGGTTGTAGGGTTTAGTTTGTTTAAGGTCTCGGGTTCTTAAACCCTAAACCCTAGAGGACTTTGAGCTAAGGGCATCTTAGTCATGTTCCTACACCGACGGCTTAGGGAGCTTGCTCTCCCGGCTTTAGGGTTGTAGGGTTTCTGGTGTAGCCTGGACTCCACTGACCCAGAGGGCTTAGCGGTTCAGGGTACCTGCATTCATAGAATATTATACAGAAATACCACTCCCGCCACCACCGCCACTGCCGCTACAACCAGCATCCACTAAACTACGACTACCACTACCACCCATGACTACGACTGCGAGTGCTTTCAATGCAATAAGAATGGTCGCAATAGAAGTGGTAGGAGTCGGAGTCGGAGTTGGAGTAGGAGGAGTAGTAGTCGTAGTAGTAGTAGTAGTAGTAGTAGTAGTAGTAGTAGTAGTAGTAGTAGTAGTAGTAGTAGTACTAGTAGTAGTTGCCCGGTAGCTTAGTTTATAATATCGCGTCGTTAGTGGTAGGTAGTGGTAGTACTGTATATAGGTCTTTAAGTCGTAACGAAGTCTAAAGCAAAAGAGTTTGCCGAGTACATAGAGCGCGTGCGTCCGCAAAACAAACATGAGCACGAAGAGTGCGTCGTGTGCAGTGTGTAGTACGTAGCCAGTGCCAGACTACGACGAGGACCTTTCAACTTGTTTGTGCCTTTGCCCACTGGTTGCTATGTATGGGTGTTAGTAACTGTTAGTATTAATTATAATAGTGGTAGTATGAGCCTTGTAGCTATCCTTGCACCACATGTCCATGCCGGAGTCCATGCCTTTGGAGGCACCAGCAGTGGAGATGTTGAGAGGCCCGATCGTGTTGTCGATTACGAAGTTAAAGAGTGTTTTCGTGTTGCAGGTTTATGTTTTCGGGGCTCAGGGTTAGGATCAGGCCCCTCGCAGTAGTGAGAGTACACGTCCTTTATGTTCTGATGATCCTCTCCAGTCCATGTGTTCCAAGAATCCGAGAGTCAAAAGGCGGCTCGATGCTCTCACCTTTCTTCCTTCCAGGGCACCTGTGTCGTGCTCATCCAAAAGCCCTAAACCCTCCACATCAAAAACCCGAAGCCAGAGACTCCGAAACCGTACTGATCAGAGTCCCTCATTGCAGCATCATGGTTTCGGAGTCTGCGAAGGGCATCGAACAGGGTGTCGGTTTTCCGGCGGTTTGGGATCTGAGTTTGGAGGTTCGGAGCTCACCCTAAACCCCACTGCCTGATTCCCAGGTACCTTCAAAGCATTATCGATTGCGAGTCCTCAGCAGCGCAGGCCTGGTGTTCAAAACCCGCTTTGACCTCGGGACTCGGCACGTGGAGCACCGACAGAGAAGTGGGTGTGAAACTCCCCATAGGCCCCATAGTAGTTCCGTTTTGGGGTTCATATGTAGAATCCTATAAGGTAATCTGGTTCTGCTACTACTCGCGTCGATAATTCCACATCCTGCTCATGCGGTTGCTGCGGTTCTGCTACGACTACGACAGCTGCTGCTACTGGTACTGTTGCTGTTAAGGGTCACCGAGGCTGTGATTCCATTCACCATATTCAGCAGAGAGTGAAGTGGATTGGGTCAGGTTGCACGTGCATTGCTCTGCAAAGCAGGATATGGGAGTTTCCCAAAATTAGGGGTACCTTATTTTGGGGTCCTTATAATAAGGATCGCATTGTTTAGGTTACTATATTAGGGTCCCCCATGTTCGGAAACTCCCATAAGGAATGACTCCCTGCATTCCCATTCCGCAGATTTAATGCTCAGATCGGGTCCAAGGGAGGCCCCTTTTCTTCGAGAGCTGACCCAGACACCTGGCATTCTTGGCAACTGACTGTTGAGGGTTCCTAGGGGTTCAGCCAGGCCTTGTCAGGGTTCTCGTATACTTTTGTTGTGTTGAAGGAGCTGGATCTAGGAGGATTTCAGTGAGAGAGGTAGTGGTTTCCTGAAGTCTTTTACCAAACATCATTTGTAGCCGTCTTGACTGTTGTCATTGCTGTGATCAACATGTTTTCTTAGCACTGCTACTTTGATTCTGGTCGTGTGTACTGCGTTCTGGTCATTGTGCTCGTCGCCACTGTGTAGGGTGATTGTGGTGATGCTGGTGGTGGGCGGTGGCCGTCGCTATCGCGGGAGCGTTCTACAAAAGCCTGGGATGTTTAGCTACTAAACCACTGCCCAAGGGTTTGGGATTCAGGGTTTAGCGTTCAGGGCTTTAGAAGCAAGCCTGAAGTCTGGGGCTTATGCCAAGAAGCGGCACTTTTTGGGTTGTGTTCTCCAGGTTGTAACCTTTCTGAAACCCGCGCAAAACTCAATCTTCACCCAGCAAGCCCTATAAAATCGTGTGAGACCCCAGGATCCTAATAGTAATACTAATAATAATAATAGTAATAATAATAGTAGTAATAGTAATAGTAATAGTAATAGAAATAGAAATAGAAATAGTAATAGTAATAGTAATAATAACAGCAATAGTAATAGTAATAGTAATAGTACATAAAATGTGTAAACAATGACCGTTTAACGGCTCCCCCGCATCTGAGGCAGCTGCCTGGCTGATGATCACAGCCGCAGGCACAGCTGCGGCAGCGGGATATGCTGCGACTGCTTACAAGTACAATCTGGGAAGGCACCTGGCAGGGAAAGCAGATGGATTTAGTGCAATGCTAAAGGATTTTAGCATAAGTAAGTTAGCTCGGGCACTTGAACTTCAGCCTTCTTCAGCCAGCGGCTCAGAAATCGACATTTCACCCAATCTGATTGCCGAAGCTGCGCATGCGACTTTATAATTGAGTCAAGCTTTCGGGGCCAAGCCGACGCCCTCTTTAATCTTTTGCAAGCTCCGAGGTACCAGTTCAATGCCAAGCAGCGCCAACATCGGATACATCAGCTCCTCCACTGATCTGCTTCAGAGCGGAGAGCAATGTGCATTAAACATGCGAGTGTGGTAACCCTCGAATACTAGAACCCTAAACCCTATAAACCTCCCTAAACTTATAGAAATCAGAAATCCTGGGTTTGGGCATGGGAAGCTTGAGGGAAATCTTATCGAATCTTCAAGAGACCGAGTCCTTCCATGATTGTTGTCCTGCTTTCCCAAACGCCGAACCACAAACCCTCAACCCCAAGCACCTAACCCTAAACCCTGGAAGTCCTCAACCGTGAAGGAACCAGAACATGAAGCTGGAGCTCTGGCGTCTCTTTCGGGAAGACGTTCGAGATTTGTTTGAGCTGACCACATCCAATATGAACACCTACATGGTAGTCGGCTCTTTGCTGGATCCTCGGCTTATTATGCTTAAAGGTTCTGGATGTGTGGTTTTAGGATTCTGGGGTCTAGGGTTTGGGGGTAACGGCTTTGCTTCATTCTGCTGGCGTCGTTCTTTGGAGTCTCTTGACGATCGTGGGAGTCTGAATTAAAAGCCCAGTAGCAAGCAATGTCCCAAAAGCCCTAAACCCTAAAGCCTACACCGCACAGACCTCAAACTCTAAACAAAAGCGTCCCAAATACAAAGCCTTAAAAGTCCGGCACCCCCTTAGAGTGCCAGGTCACCTGCATCATCGGGTTCATCTTCGTGGGATATTCAGAATTTCCGATGGAACCACCTTGGCTGCTGCTGATCTGGACTCGGGCCCCAAAGGGGTTCGGGCGTCTCTCAGGGTCTAGGGTCCGATGTCCTCTAAGGAGGTACCCATAGGCCCCATAGCAGTCCTTATTTTGGGGTTCATATTTGGAATTCTATAAGGTAATCCCAAAAAGGAACTACTATGGGGCCTGTGGGTAAGCCAAGAGTTTCGGGCCTACTCATTCTTGCTCGCAGCGGTTTGCCGGAAGTGTAACCAAGCGCAGGAATAACAGTGTCTTCTCGTCCATCACCTTCGGCATCACCAGCGTCTGGCTCGCCACGCACGGCTCAAGCTCTTCGAACTCTGCGGCGACGAAGATTTTGACACAGGCCGACCACTTGTGGAGTAAGTATCCTTTAACTACACAGGACTGGAAAGCTACACAGAATCTGAACCTGAAAACCCTAAACACTGCCCTTAACATTCAACCCTAAACCCAAAAATCTGACCTGCTCCAAGTCCAAATCCAAAATCCATTCTCCAAAGCGGCCAGGCTACGGGTTGAGGATATAGGAAATTCTTCTGACTATCTTTCAGGGTTTAGGGTTTATAGGGTTGAGGGTTTAGGGTTGAGGGTTGAGGGTTTATGTGCCGGGCGCAGGCTAAGGCTCAGGCTACAAGGTTCAATCTCTTGAGCTCGCCGGTGCCTCTTCCTATTGCTTCTAAGACTCTCCATTGCCATTTTAATGATGTTCATCGCGAGTTTCATCGGCTTCTCTGCACAGCGCGCGAACTTCTACCTCTATCGCAGCTATCCTGGCTTGCCCATTCTAGACTGCTAGTTTTTAGGATTAGGTTGTCCTAAGCCCTAAGCGCTTAGCCCTGAAGTTTAGGGTTTAAAGTCTCGGGGTGTTGGGTTTATGGGGAAGCCCTAGAAAGACCTGAATCACGCACCCGGCCTGTGGATGAGGCAGTGCGTCCGCCCGTGCCCACGCTTGATGATGTTCGCTCGGCCATGAGTTCCTCGAGAAAAAGTTAAAGCACTTTACATAGGGCTTTAGGGTTTAGGGTTTAGGGTTCAATGTAGGGGCCTGAATGACTGACGATACTATTTCAGGTGTCTTCCTTGTAGTTATGCTGTAATATACCCCGAAACCCTGGTCCAATTATTAACTACCGCGTAATCGAGGACTCATCCCAGTGGAGGGCATGGCCCTACATATTCCAAGCCCGATGAACCCCTTGATCCCCAAAAGACACGAGGTCATAAAAAAAAAAACTGCGTTGTTTTCAGGTCAACCCAGGCGAACTCTTTTGGCTTTGTCCCAGGTCCGTGCGCAGTGAGCAAAACAAAGGGACAGAAGTTACATGACGTTGGATTCGCCCTGCACATACTTCTGCACCTAGTTTACGTGGCTTGGGTTTGGGGTTTACTTGGGGTTCCTGACTGCTGTGACTTCCTGTCCCCAAAAGCCGACTCGAAGAAGCCTGCGGCCCTGAAGCATGCAAGGACAGCAGGAGCACTACGAGGGAAGCGGCGCAAAGAACTTCTTCATGTCCCTTGGCCAAAAGACGGTGGAAATGAATACTTGGGCATAAGATACCTTGTCGGTGAAGTTGGCCTAGCAGTGTATTCCAAGCTGTCACACACACACACACACACACACACACTAAACAAGAAAGAAACAAAGCTGCAACAAAGCAAGACACAACTAGGAACAGCTAGAACAAGCCAGAAATCGGATTCTATAGAAACCCCTAGCAGCTTCCAGCAAAGGTGACATTCGATTTGTTCTCTCGTTCTCTGTGCTACTCAAACAAGCACCTCATTAGTCTGGTACCTGATGTGTCTCTGACGAGCTGCGAACAATTCAGGCCCTAAGCCCTAATATAAAGGCCTTAATGATTCTGGGGGTTCCTTATTATATTTATAGTATACTATACCCACCAACCCTATTCTAATTGTTAAGGCCCCTCTGGTATACCCCGAAAGCCCTCAATCGAATCAGCCAGTAGTTCCGAACTCCAAAAACCCCAGACCACACGAAAGCTAAGCCTCAGCACCCCAAAGCTACAAGCAACGAAGGCCCGAAGCCCCGATCCCCCAAACCCTACACCAAGAACCTCAAAACTCGAAAGCACGGAGTTCATATCACCCTTAGCCCTACACCCTAAACCCTACACCCCAAACCCTAAACCCTCTACCCCCCACCCTGCAGCCCTACCTAGGCCCCCTGCGATCGTGCCTGGAGCAAAGATCGGCGGCCTTCAGGAGGATAGCAGCTTCAAGGCGCCCCGGGGTTTACGGTTTAGGGTATTCAGGGTTCAGGGTTTAGGGGTCTTATCACAGGGTTCAGGGTTTTCGGTTTACCCATGGGCCTCACAGTAGTTCCTTCTTGGGGTAGGGTTCAGTTGTAATTATGAATATGACTATGACTACAGTTATGAACATGAACCACACGATAAAAGCCGACAAAATGACTATTCTCAGGCATTCTTTGTACAAACATAGTATAATCTACCCCACAGCCCAATCTGTTTTGTACACTGACCGTTTTCCAGTAGCCCTGAAAGAACCGTGTAAAGGAACAATTTAACAGGAGCCGTATTTCCTTTTTGTCACGCCACACTATCGCCGGATGTTCCGAGCAAGAGCGGCGTTTTTGGGACTGGCATGGCTTTTGGGATTTCGGGGTTTGGTGTTGCCGTTTCGGGTTGTAGAGACTCTAGTGCCTGTCTGTTATATAAGTTATACCTGAACACCAAATAACCTACCTGATAAATAAGGGTCTATGAAGGAAACCTACCTGATAATAATGGTTTATGAAAGGAATTTATAATCAGGATCCCAACAAAGGTAGGATCCACATAGGATTCAGCTAGAGTATAGGGATCCCGGAATCTGGAGTTCTTTGAAGGCGATGAGGCACTTTGCGCTATGTTCTGGCACTCGCTTCTGGCATTCGCAAGTTTTTTCGGATGGAGTACAGACTAGCTGATTAGGAGGTCTCTGATTTTTCAGGGGTCTGGGTTCTGCTTTTTTTAAGTTCAGAGTCTATTGCATGGTTAGGGTAATTAAGGTTTCCCGGTGCTCTGTCATGAGGCCGCCACCACTACAAGCAACAACAACGCGAAGCGAGAGGCGGCTCATCACACGTATTGCTTTGGTGGTGAATCAGTTTGCGTACATAGACATAAGTTTAGATTATGTTTGATTGTATTTTGCCATCACATTTGCCACTTAGTTCTTCATGGTGCCACTGCGATTTCGTTCCGCAGAAGTTCTGTAGTGTTACATCATAATTGTGCGGTATGTTTCAACTGTCGCCATTCCAGCTAAGTTCCGTCAAAGCGCTGTGTTTGTCTCAGTTCGTGCATTACATTCTGATATATCCAAACCTTCGTTTCTGTACCTAAATTAACAGAGGCCCTGACACCTAATGCACACCTTTCCAAACCCCTTGACCGCTCCAGGATTCATATTGTGTTGTGAGCAACCTCGCTCTAGTACTAAAGTCCTTATGCTAACGTGGATTACAGAATCTCTCAGCCCACCGGCCATCAAGCGCAAGTGCCCCGCGACAGCAACCAAAAGCACTAAGCACAAGGTTTTCAGGTGTGGGTTTCGGGCTTGAGGAACTAATGGTTTAAGGTTGGAGGGTTTGGGTTGGAATGTATGGCGTTGCGCTCAATTTGAGTTAAGATGTGGTATCAGATAACAAGAACACCAGATCCAAGAAGAGCAGACGGGTCCTGATCAGAGTTTCACGAACCGCAGCGCGAATGTAGACATCAGAGTTGTCTTCCGGCCGCATGTGCCTGCGCAGAACTGGAGTGACTGTGTAGTCTGGTTGACAGAAAGCTGCCTCGGGCAGGTGTCTATACAAACACAAGATGGTGTCAATACAAACTCCCTTGCACGCTTCCCTAAACCCTAAACCCCTAAACCCTAAACCCTAAACCCGTTCTGCATGTGCACACGGGCATGTAAAGGTCGAGTTTATCTTCAGCCCTGACTCCGAGCTTCGTACTAAAACTCGGGCATTTAGATCCTTACACTTATTAATTAGGGTTTAGGGTTTAGGGTTATCTTATTACTCCTGAGCATCAGACCCGAAGCTCTAAAGCCCTACAGCACCGAGTTGCGGTGTCTGATTTCTCCACGGCCCAACTCCCGCCCTCCTTTCTCGCATCAACATGTCCTGAAACCTTGAACTCCCTGGATCCGTATATAAAGCCACCCTCCTAACCCCTAAGGCCGCGAACCCCCAAAAGCTTCAACTCCATCCCTGTAGAGATCGGGAGACTTATAGTAGTAGTACTATCCTCCTTTTCTTCGTCCCCGTAGTATAATAATCAAAGGATGATATACCCCAAAATCCTTGTTCCAATTATTAAGGCCCGGTGCTGCAATTCCCCCAAAAGCCGATTCACCAAAAGCCTCATTCCTGTGTGTAACAGCCCAGACCTGTGTCCAGGAGATCATGGCAGAGGCAACGCAAGGGCAGAGCAGCAAACGCTTTTCCCTTCCCAAACCTTCTCAAGCTGACCCTCGGCTTCTTCGTGTTTAAGGGGTTTTGCGCTTCGGAATTCGGGTTTAGACGAAGGGTGTACAGTTTATGATATGGTGTATGCTTCAGGGCTTGGGTGGAGGGTGGAGGGCTCGGGGGCTTAGGTTGTAGGGCTTGGGGCGCACATCCTGGAGGTGCGGGGTTGGAATAGGATGATCAATGGGTTGTATTCTGCGGCCTGCATGTACATGTTGTTGTGCAAGGGCTCAGGGTTTTGCGAGCTATGTTGGGCTTAACGGTGTGGTTTAGGGGTGGGTTTAGTGTTGAAGGAGCTCTGGGTGTTAGGGTGCGGGGTGATTTTGCAGCCTTGGGTGCAGGTTTGCCGTGACTTGTCAGGCTCATGGTGCTAATTCGTCTCGCTTCTTCCTTCTGTACCAGAGCTCTGCATTGAAAGCACCAGAGCATGATCGGGAATAATTGCGGGACAGTGACCTGCTTCAGTTGTGGTTAGCAGCTTGCTAGCCGCTAGCCCATGAGGGTAGCAAGTAAGCTAAGCTAAAAGGTACTCGATGATATGACGACTGCGTTTCATCGTTGTGTTTGTCTCTACATGGATGGGCGTGTTCAGACGAGGCTTGCAGATAAAAAGCACAGCATGTGGTTTTGGGGAGGGAGCAGGCGGACCGAGAGAGAGAGAGAGAGAGAGAGAGAGAGTCAGAGAAGGGGGGCAAGGTAGGAGAAGGTACGGACCGAGACCCGGGCTTAGGGAGTAGGGTTTAGGGTTCAGGGAGAGAGAGAGAGAGAGAGAGAGAGAGAGAGAGAGAGAGAGAGAGAGACGGAGAGCGCTGCACACCATTATGCCACGGTGCAGTACGGTTCTGTTTTGTTGTGCTGACCTCTATGATGGAAGTGCTAGGGATCGGCTTGTCAGCCTCGTTGGTTGAGGTGCCTCTGCAACGACCTGAGGTGTTGACCACTCAACCATCAGTTTTAGGTCCATTTCCTTGATAAACCAAAACCCCAAACCCGAAACCATATACCCCGACAAAGAACCGGCATGCTAAGCCGGAGACTCGACATGCAAGCCCGAGGAAAGCCCGCTAGAGCCTAATCCATCACCATCTGCCCCATTCCAAGGATGCCAACGAGACCTTCGCTAAGGAGCTGAACTCAACAGCTTCGAAACGAAGTGCGTTCGCGAAGAAGGTGAGGGTTCAGCGCAGAGGGTTTTAGGATTTAACGTTCAGGAGTATGTGTTTGACCGTGATGTTTGGGCTTCAGGGAGCCTAATACTCCGATAAACCCTAAGCCGTAAACCCTAAACTCTATACCCTCAACATTGACTCCGAATCATAAATCCTAGCACCGGAACCCCAAGTCACACGAAAGCGATTCTCCCCCTGTCATGCTGAATCGCACGCTCTCAACCCAAAACCCTAAGCCGAGGTTTAGGGTGCGTGATTTTAGGAAGTGGTGCCCCGGTCTCAGGGGATGTTTGCATTTCACATGGTTCGGCTTTGGAACCGGAACATTTGCGGCTTAGGCTTTAGGGCTTAGGTCTTAGGCTTTAGGATTTCGGGTTGAGGCTTTATAGGGTTCGGTGTTTAGGACGTCGGGTTGAGGATTTTAAGGAGGGAGTCGTACGGCAGTACGCGTTGCGGTGTAATTACCACATAAACAACTGAATACGGAATACGTCAGATCTTCTGAGATATCTTCACGCAAGAAGTCTTGGCACTAAGATTCTATTGAGTTGGTTTCGTGTCACCTTCATTCCCTCAAACTCCCATATCTTAGCAGCTTGTCGGGTTTGAGTTTAGGGGTTTGTGGCTGGGGGTCTGAGAATGGTGATGTCGGTTCAGGGATGAGGGTTTAGGTGACGGGCTTTCAGAGCTTGATGAGCTTGTAACTTGCTTTGATAGATATACCCCTTCTGTTGCCATGTATTCGTCCGGGAGAGGCCGAAGAATGAGCAGCTTCGTCCCTAGAGACCCCCAAACCGTGGCACCCAAACCTCAAACTCCCAACAACACACGAACTAAGACCGTCAAATCCTACTCCTAAATGCCCTGATTCGCGCAGACGCGGATCTGACATACTACGCCTCCAAGCCCAGGATTGCCTGACTCGCCCCCCAAAAAATCAAGCCCAAGTCCTAATGAGGGCTGAAGGTTGAAGTTTCAGGGTTGAGGGCGTGTAGGTGTAGTGGTTGGGGATTGGGAACTCCAGAGCACTGAAACGCAGGAACATTTTGGAACTGTTAAACTCGTAAACACCCAACCCTAGATCCTCAAACCTTAAACTTTGGCCCTAAACGCTAACTCCTTAAAGCTGCCGTCCTTCGAGCCGTCCCCCATCTCAGTCCGGAACCATGGCGACCATGGCGGACATCACCACGGCTGAAGGCGTCTGAAGTTTGAAGTCAGGAAAAGGGGGGTGGAATTAATAAGTAATTACCAATACTATTTTTGGGATTCCTTTTTGTATTTATAGTAATGGGCCCCAAAGCCCTATTCTAATTATTCAGGCCCCCATAGTACTGGTCTGCGAGGGTTGGGGTCGCAGAGTTACGGAAACACATATGTATGAATGCATGGATGCATGCATGCGTGTATGTAAGTATGAAAGTCTGTAACGTAATTACGTATGCAAGTTCGTATGTACGCATGTACGCATGTAATGTACTGTATTGTAGAGTTATTTCAAATGTATTTTAAACAATCTCTGAATGTATGTATAGGCATCCATCCACCCATCCATCCTTCCGTCCATCCGTCCATCCGTCCGTCCATCCATCCGTCCATCCATCCATGCATCCATGCATCCATCCGCCTGTCCGTCCGTCCCTGCATGCTTGCATGCATTGCACACCGATATACGGAACATAGATAGGAACCTTAAGCATGTAGGTGTTCTAGGGCTCTTGGCAACTCCTAAAGTTTTCAGCTGCTCAGACCTTGACAGGTAAGAGAAGACTGTCCATCGACCGCTCCGACATCAAAAAGGCATTGGACCAGGACAAGGACAGCGGATTCCAGGATTTCTGCTGATTTCAGGATTTCGAGACGGCGGGTGAAACAGAAAACGGCGGAGTCGAGGCTTTGGCATTGTCATTTTTAACGGTTGAGCCGGGTCGCTCGAAACTGCCAATGCTCACAGCGGACTTGGGCAGCTGCTGGGGGTTTGGAAGAACATTGCGGCTTGAACGATGAGTACATGCTCCTGCTTGTGTAAATCATAATTAGTAAGAACCAAGCAGCATCATACATACCTAGAACCAACATATACCCTGACGAGTCGTATCCCTACCGGTGGTCGAGAAATATCTATAGGGAACTGACGCTTCAACAAGAGCAGCGGAATGCCGTAGCCGCTGTTGTGCTAGATGCTTCGCCATTATGAGTATCAGTAAATTACCATCATGATCACTCTCCTTTCCAGATGCAAGCCGCAGCATACCGGACGCGACGATTTAGGGATTAGGGCTTAGAAGCTTCGCAGAACAACATACCGGATCAGCTTTGCGACTTGCCGGCTGATAGGGCCTGTGGAGCACATTTTATGAGGCCTAAACCCTAAACCCTGCAATGACAGCCTCGAGCTGGATCAGATCTCGATTTGCACACACACACACACACATACACACACGGAGTGGCGAAGTGCATCTCCTTTAGGGTTTCGGGGCTTGGGGTTAAGGTGTCGGAGGGGGGAGTGCAGAAGCTCTAAACCGTGATCTGCCGGAACCCCTACTAGTGTGTGTTGAAGACGGCTTTCAGGCGGATTGTCGAGGAGTCTTGGATTTGAGCTTTGGAGAGGATAGATTCGACCCGGCCTGTGGAATCACTGGAAGTAATATATAATTGCATCAAGAAATGCTGTGATAATTCCTCAGGGCTCCTTCTAGTACTCATCGCAGAATATAGCTCAAAGAACGATTTTCAAGTATTCAAGACACTATTTTATCCTTCCACTATACCCGAATCCTTAAACCCTTAACCCTGTGATGCTCTGAGTGAGGGCCTTTGTGGATGTACTTGAGAGCCGACTGCAGGCAGTCGTAAAAGTCAACTCAGCTTAAAACAAAAAGAGTAACCCTTAACTTGAAACCAGCTGCAGCGAGTGCGAGCTTCAGGAGGCTGGCTCTGCTCAGCAGTATCTGGAAGATGGTGTCCACGAAGCCATGGCTGCAGTCAGAGAAACGTTGTGGTATAACAGACAAGACACGCCACCTATGCTATACTAAACTATGCTATGCTATACACTCTAGATATTTTTCTATACTAAACTATGATCATAAAGTGTACACTATAGCGATCCAACAAGAGGAAAGATGACACAAATAATGCAATGGAGTTCAATACAGTATGTTACCGTACCATCTAAAATGCAGCAAAATAGAATAGAGCAGGTTCTGTTAAAGTATCGCATGATATGTCATACCAGATATAGCCCATGGTAGAAACACATCATGTGTGTATATATGTATATAGATAGGTAGATAGATAATCATATTTTACACGATATAGAACGCATAATACCGTATGCTGTTATTAAACCTGGTAGAGAAAGACCAGACAGGGCTAGAATACAAGTGATCATGATATTACCTTAACCGATCACCATTAAGCATACCCAATATAAAATGACTGGCATAATATGGTACATCATGCTATAACACGGCATGAGACTTATACCTCTAGGGTGGGCTACACCCCAATGCCAGGCGTCATGCACCAAGCCAAGATGCAGTGGAGTTTAACTCATATTAGCAATCCTTGAACTGGGTCTGAACTTTGAGTGGCAATATACCTCGCAGCTCTAGTCTAGTCAGTTATTACTGTTCCAAGTGTTTCCTTTTCGGTCCACCGAGGCGACGGATGACATCAGCCAACGCCTCGCCACAGCAGACGGACCACCGGGGAAGAGTGCCGCTCACTATTCGCACTTCTGGATGCTCCGCAAGGCGAAAGAGTCGGGGTTCGACAAGGGCAAATTACCAGTAGGGTTCCAGAAGGATGCTCTACAGAGGCTTCGAGTTTTGGATACCGCGAGAGTTGCGGGTTTCAGAGTTCAGGGTTTGGTGTGGTCAGCAGAAGTCCAGCTTGACTTCCGTATCTGTGGAATCTGCGATTGGGGCAGCTGCGTTTAGGGTTTAGGGGTTTAGGGTTTACTCTGCGTTAGTTGGTAAGGCTGAGGTTCGGCGGGGAGCTACCGCGAAAGCATTTTAATTGCCATGTTCAGGTCTTTTATTGACAAGAGTGTTTTTGTCAGTAGCACTAGGACAGTTGAGTTGTGGTTTGCATCTGTCAGATGTTTCGCTTGTGCTGCCTTGCTCGTAACAGTTAAAATTGTAGTTGCCCTTGCTGCGACCGCGCCTGCCGGTGCTTTTGCCGAGACTAACATGTTTCGTTTTCAACCGCATGCTGGATGCAATTATCACTGCCTTCATTGTCATTGCCTCTGCTCATCCGCCAACGTCAGAACTGTGAGCTGCATCACCATTGCGAGTCTTTTGTGGCCTGCATCGCTATGTGGCTCTGCTTCTATTACTCCAGCACTATATTCTAGCAGCAAGAAACCTACGTTCACAAACTTGCAGATGCTGAAGACTTGCCCTAGACCCTTAACCCTAAACATGCGAAGCACATCACGGCTCTGCCGAGTCACCGAGCGAAGCAGCAGGTGCAGCGAGGCTATGCATGCTTCGACGCCTATGCCCGCATCAGCCTGACCGTCTCCGCGCAGCAGATGATGCTCGTCGGTGCCTACTATGTGCCTTCGCAGCACTTGTTTGCCTAGGGTTGAGGATGCAAGTGATATTCGTAATTATCTCACCCTGGTTGATGTTTCAAAACTTGAGTTGTCGATGCCACAGGCCACAGGCTTCGGACATGGCGTATCCGCTATCATTTCTTCACCGCCGGAGCATCCTGTGAACCTCGAAGCTCCTCCGTCCAGCCTGAAGCCAGAAGTCATGGACATATCCTGCTCTTGATAAAAGAGGCTACGCATCCCAGACACTGTGGAAGCCGAAGTAGCATGCTGATGCCAGGTCTTGGACGAAGTAGGTGAACCTCCGACGACAGCACAAGCTTAAGCCTTTTAAACCCTAAACCCTTAATCCCACATTAGTCACTGAGTACCACTATGGGCTATTAGACCTTATGGGTACCTTAATCTACCCTTAATAGGGTCCTAATAGGGATCTTTAGGGTCTAATAGCCCATAGTGGTAAGACCAGGCCATCGGCCTCTTTATGACGAAGACAGAGGGTTGGCCGGCGCCCACGCAGAACTCGGCCACAGGAGCGATCCTTGCGACTTCCGGAGTAGGAGCCTGGTTGGGTCGGAATATGCTACTGTTGATGAATATACATCATTAATTATCTTAAGGACCTAAGGACCCTGAACTATGGGAATTATGGTATATTCCTTATTATGGGTAATGCAGGATTTATATCATCAACCGTATGACACTATCCCTCAAGGTTACTGCTTCTAAGTACAGCATATTGAGCTCGTAAAGCCCTACTCTAATTTTAGGCCGAATAAGGCACCTGAATGCAGAAGCCTGAGCAATCATCAAAGTGGTTCCTGCCCAGGGCTCCTGATGATATTAAAATTTTAACAACAACAACAACAACTACTACTACGACTTATACAATACCCTTAAATCCTGGTCAGTTTATTGAGGTCCCCATGAAGCCTTTAAACCCTGAACCCTCAGAGCCGAAACCCAAGACCAAGCAGATAAAGCCCAACCCCCTAAACCGTAACCCGTAGCCTTTTCGGGAGGATGGCTCTCCTCCGCCACAGCCGCGTTTGCCGGCTGCATCCTCTACAAGCTGGACCTCTTTGTCGTCAAGTCGAAGAGGAGGCCAGGAAGAATGCCGAACTTTGATCTGGCAGATGTACTTTGTACAAAGATCTATCGATCTGTCGATTCATGTAGCTATCTATCTACCCACCTGGCTATCTACTTCTCCATATTTATGTATATGTGTATACACATCTATATATACAGATTTGCATACTTGCTTTTCGCACAACTGTCGATTCCGTTCATCTCAGTATGGGTGGGTTCAGCGACATGAACAAACAACCAGTCTCGACATATAAGCAAACCAGCAGGCAGGCAAAGACACCTACAGTGAAACAGTGAGTGTGTATTAGATGTGTATATACATTATATATATATATATATATATGTAGAGATGCACATACAGCATAGTATAACACGATATTTCCCAATGCGAGGCAATACAGTACAATACAACCTGCGATGACATATTGTACTTTGCTATTGATAACAGGACAAAACATAGTATAACCTAGAGCAGTAAAGCATAGAATAGCAGCATGCAATACGTTGTGTGCTACTATACTAGACTAGACTAGATATACAACACTATACGATACGATGCTATACTATACCGGTAATGTACAATGGCATACTATATTGTAAAATGGAGAAAAAACGAATATCGTATGGCATGCTACACTAGGTACACTGCACTATACACTACTTTACAGTATGTGTATGTAGGATGTACTGGTTCGCATTTCGGGTCTAGGGTTGTTTGTGTAATCTAGAAGCCTGAAAAATTGCACATACTATTCTGCAGGGTTCCCGACTATATATGTTTTGGTTAGCGAAGATTCAACCCAAAACCCTGTTCTTGTTGGGCAGTGCATTCACGGTCGCAAAAGGCTTCACTTCTCCACTGTTCCGGCTAATCTGAGCCGAAAGTGTCCAGCTGCCATTGAGATCTCTCTGAACTACTTGAGTCGTGGCATTCCGAGTTCGGTTCGATGATCAAAGTTATCACGGATATTATTTCTAAAAGCTGAACTCCAACACGGACACGGCTTTAAAAATACTGGTGAGGAACAAGCCCTCTAGTTTCGTTGGCCCGAACGGACTTCTTGTCCGATCACACCCCAAAGACCTGTTGTGATTGTTAAGGCCCGTATACTAAACCTCTCATAACCCTAGGAGGATCCCCTGTAGAGTCCTTCAGAGAAGCCTCTCCGAAACCTACTCACATTCTCAATGCCACTGTAATAGGTGCAGGATTCATATAAAGGAACCCTAATAAAGGCCCAAGGTTTCTTAATCAGGCCTACATTAGAGCGGCGGAACAAACCTTGAGGTCCAACGTCACGCCCAACACTCCATGAAAACCCTCAGAAAGGGGTAGGGGGGAGAGGGGTAGGGGACTATACTTCTTTAATCAGGGCTTGTTAGGTCCTTATAAAAGGTATTCAGGCTCCCTACCCCCCTCCACCTACCCCCCGTAAGGGTCCCTATGACCACTCAACCCTTAGGCCCAAACCGACGCCTTAACCCTAAACAGCCCGAGACCCAGGCCCGCCTAGATGCTCGGGTTTAGGGCTTAGGGTTTAGGGATTCTAATCTTGAGATCATCAGCCTCATAGGATGGTGGACACCGCCATCTTTCTGGCGCCCCTGGTCCTGACCTTGGCAGTACACCTGGCTGTCATTCGAGACCCTTGTCTGTGCAGTGAGTTGATCCGTAACCCTGTAACCCACAACGTAGGCATCAAGAGGGTGTAGGCCTTCGGGATTCAGGGTTCACAGATTCAAGGTGTAATGCAGAGAAACGTTCTGGGTTGATCCGAGACACTTGTTAGGCATCGGAGTTTGCAGAGGGATTAGGGGTTTGGATGGTTTAGGTATTGGTGAAGGACAAAGTCGTTGATGCTCAGAGCCGGCACATGGAGTTTTTGAAAATCAGAACTCCGCGCCTTAGAACATCGCATGGTCGAGCTTTGTTTCTTGGTTGCACACACCCACGAAACCCAAAGGCCTTTTCTAGACTACGTAGTGTTTCCCCCTAGAAACCGGAGGTATACATGTGCAGACAGCCTAAACCTTAACCCCACGTCCTCGCCCTCTACCCTCTGCCTTCAGACCGAAAGCCCGAACCTAAACCCCAACCTCAAACCCTAAACTACGCGGAGCACATCTGCAGAAGCCGCGTACGGGCCTCTTATCGCGAGCTTTTGTAAACTCCCATTAGGTAGGTACAGCAGTATCTAGTATGCAGCTTCTACACGGCTACAGCAAGCATCCAACTACAACAGCTCCCCGTGATCTGAGGACGACAACGGGCGAATGGGCGTGCGACCTTGTGACCAGGTGCGCCCTAAGCCATAAGCGAACGACATGATTTAGACCCTTCCGCCACCGTGTAGTCATTTCCAAAAGACTATATGTACTCTATCGAACATGGCTTCAAAGCCGTTTTGGGGGGTAAGACCGAAAACCCAATTCAAAAGCTGACGCCTGGCAATTGACACGCGCCTTTCTTTTGATAGCCTTTCTTATCTGGCGGGTATCCCATAACAAGAAACCAAAGCAATTCAAAATGACACTTCATTCTGTAGAGTCCTAGGTACTCACCGCAAAGGCACGCCTCTCCAGACATAGGAACACGAGAATGGCAAATGATAAGGGGCCCTAACATTGTAATTACAGCGGCAGCGCTGTATAAGAAAATACTTTCTGGGACGAGGGTGGTCTGGTTTTCTTATTTTGATAGCGGCTGGTTTTATGGGGATATTTAATCTGGGATGGGTCAGGGTAGTCTGGTTTTCTTAAGGCCGTTTTCTTACATAGCAGTGTCCAGGGCCCGAGACCCCCAGATGAACAAGCGAAGACTTGCCCCAAACATCAAACCCAACAGGCCCAAGATCTCGAAATGAAGGCATAAATCTTCAAACACAGTCATAGTGCAGCACCGTATCCCGTTCTACAGTCGTTCAAGCAGTTTTCCTCCAAACGACGCTGTATCAGGCTCAATGGAGGCCCCAGGATCAGCCATCGTTCCAGAACCCCCCTAAATAAGAAAACGAAACTCTGGCATTTTCTTACTCTCCTTCGTTCCAGAACCCACCTAAATAAGAAAACGAGACTCTGGCATTTTCGTATTCTCCTTCGTTCCAGAACCCACCTAAATAAGAAAACGAGACTCTGGCATGTTCTTATTCTCCTTTGTTCCAGAACCCACCTAAATAAGAAAACGAGACTCTGGCATTTTTTTTATTCTCCTTCGTTCCAGAACCCACCTGAATAAGAAAACGAGACTCTGGCATTTTCTTATTCTCCTTCGCTCCAGAACCCACCTAAATAAGAAAACGAGACTCTGGCATTTTCTTATTCTCCTTTGTTCCAGAACCCACCTAAATAAGAAAACGAGACTCTGGCATGTTCTTATTTTCCTTCGTTCCAGAACCCACCTAAATAAGAAAACGAGACTCTGGCATGCTCTTATTTTCCTTCGTTCCAGAACCCACCTAAATAAGAAAACGAGACTCTGGCATTTTCTTATTCTCCTTTGTTCCAGAACCCACCTAAATAAGAAAACGAGACCCTGGCATTTTCTTATTCTCCTTTGTTCCAGAACCCACCTAAATAAGAAAACGAGACTCTGGCATTTTCTTATTCTCCTTCGTTCCAGAACCCACCTAAATAAGAAAACGAGACTCTGGCATTTTCTTATTCTCCTTCGTTCCAGAGCCCACCTAAATAACAAATCGAGACTCTGGCATGTTCTTATTTTCCTTCGTTCCAGAACCCACCTGAATAAGAGAACGAGACCCTGGCATGTTCTTATTCTCCTTTGTTCCAGAACCCAGCTAAAGACCACGAGTGTGACAGAACGAAATAAGAAAATGAGACTCGCGGACGAGGGTACCCTGGTTTTCTTATTTTAACAGTGCTTGGTGTTTTATGGAGAACCCTATCAATCGCAAAATCCATAGTCTCATTTTCTTAATCCAATGTTTTCTTAAGTAGTGCTGTCGCTGTGCCTTTCCTGAAATCCTGAACCCTAAACCGCAAATAAAGCCATTTCCGAAGCTCCAAACGCCCAATCTCCAACCCCAACTTCCACCCCTTGCCCGCAAGTCATCAGCGTTGTCCTTTTTTGGTTCAAGCATGAACCCTGCCCCTGAACTCTAAACTCTAAACCCTCCATCCTGGGCCCTCAAAATCCCAAGGCCCTAAATCCTAAACCTACAATCCGAAATCCTCCAGCCAACCAAAAGAGAAAGACCTAAAGCCCACGGCCAGGCGATCCCAGCATGGCTACCCTGGAACTTGGCTCTCTTAGCCTGCGCCCTGCTCCTTGGATTTGAGGCTCACGGTTGCGCGTGTAGGATCCAGGGCTGAGGGCGGAGGGTTTAGGGCTCTGGTTTAGGGTTGAAGGTTTAGGGCTGAGGATTTTGGGCTTGGTGATTCGGGTTTAGGGTTAGGGGAAGTTCTCAAGGTATTAAAGTGGCTTTCATCATTGGAACAGTGATGTTTGGCGGGTGTATAGCGCTCAAGAGTTTTTGCCCAACAGCAAAGGCTTACGGGCTGTGAAGGGGCCGTCTACAGCTTCACAGGAGTTTCAACAAAGCTTCAAATACTTCTCTATAGGTTTTCTGAACAAGGTTTGTTAAACGCACGTCGGAAAGGTTCTGAAAGTGGGTAGTGCAAGCATTTCATGTGCCTTTGCTATCTCATTTGTTAAAGGATATAGCAGGTGTGTTCTACGGTTTCGTACAGGGTGTAGTCTGTCATGGGTGGAGCCAAATGAGCCAAAGGCTAAACCGCAGTCAACAGGTATTGGCCTCTCTGGGAGAGCAGGTGAGGTTAGGGTGTATAGGGCTTGGGGATTGCCGGGTTCGGGGTTTCCGGGTACGGGCAGCGCGCACTTTCTCGGTGAGTCATGCTGAGGTCCTCAACGCAAAGTCTCAAAAGCCCAAGCCTCCAGCCTGAACTCTAGACCCTCTACCTAAAGGCTCCATAGTAGATCCTTTTGGGGATTACCTTATAGGGTTCTAAATATGAACCCCAAAAGGAACTACTATGGAGCCTCTACATAAGACCTGAACCCGAAGCGCTAATCCAGAGACGGAATGAGGCACTTGGGATGGATCGTGATCATCATGCACATGTCCTCGCCCTTGAAGTCCAAAGCAGGACCATGGTCAAGTGAATGGCGTCTCTGGGGTTTGAGGGATTCCTGGGCTAGACTACCTAGAGGCTCCATAGTAGTTCCTTATTTTGGGGGTCAATATTTAGAATCCTTTGAGGTAGTCCCAACAAGGAACTACTTTGGAGCCTTTGGGTACATGCTTTTTGGGCTGCCTGGCACGGGAGGTTTCGACGTGGTGTTGTTTTATGTTGTTTACTGGGCGCTGGGGTTGGGGGTTTCGGATGTTGAGAAGTCTTTTGGTGACGGGTAGGTCGCCTCGGTGTTTGTGCCTGTCTCCAACAGCCAGTGCCTTTTACGAGGCGGCAGACGCCGGGTAGGATCCTCTGCCCCTCATGCGAATTTGTGTAGACATGACCTGGCGTGCGTTTGTGGTTTGAGCAAAATGAGTGTGTGAGGGATCCCTGCCCCGGCTCCGTCATGCTAGCCACAGTGAAAGCCACAAGGCTCCGAAACCTGGAGACCCAATGTCGACCGCTACTACGATTTAGGGTTTAGGGTTTAGATGTTCCACCCTTCCCAGACGATTTGAAGCGCTAAACCGCGAAGCTCGGCAAGAGAAAAGGACTGCCGATGTCCTACCGCTCCAGCATCTACTTGGACGTCTTCGGATGGCACAGCTACCTGCCCACAACACCGGTAAAACGGCTATAGGAGGCTCTTTTCTTGCCTGTCTCTTTCTCTCCCTCTCTCTTTGACTCTCTCTGGCATATGTTTCAGAGCCAGAAGCCTGTGTCTACACGGATCTAGGGGTTTAGATTAGGTTTAGGGTGTTAAGGACTTGGCTTGAGGCTGCAGGATTTAGGCAGAATCGGAAAGGCTTGAACCCTAAACCCTTACCGTAGGCTCTGGACCCTGACCTTCCGCCCTCACACCCGAAATCCTAAACGACCAACTTACACAGAAGCTTCGAGAAATCTGACACACTTAGAGTCCTCATAAAGCCTGGATTCCCACTCAAGGGTCAGATCCGTGTGCATCCCCAGTACCCTGAGGTGCAGGGGTGCATGGGTCGTTTAGGGTTTAGCACAAGGGTGTACAGGGTTTGCGGCCTAGGCTTGAGTGTTTGTGGTGCTGGGTCCGTCAGGTTGTGTAAAGTTCAGGTTTTAGTTTGTAGTGTTTTGGGTTACGGGTTTGGGCTCAAACAACTTTTAAATCCTCGACACGATCTGCAGGGTCCCTTGTCTTGCAAGGCAACAGGCTTAAAGCTCTGCAAGGCTTGTGGCTATTGTAGAAGCCTGAGTAGTCAGGAAGTAGTAGTTCCGCATCAGGACAATACTATGAGACCCCCCAAACCCTATTCTAACCACTAACTATTGCGTAAGACTACAACACTGTTAGGGTTGTTTACAGTTTTGGGTTTGGGACTTTTGGAGTATCTTGGGTCCTCCAGAAAGTAGTGTAAGGGAAAGGTAGTTTTTGTGCAGAATGTGATGCCTCAGCATCAAATCTTTTAGTTTGCTTTTCCGGCTTTGTGTTTAGACCTCGCGCCATTTTCTTGGCCGAGGCTGGCCAGGAAAGTGCAGCCTTGTCCACGCTGTTTGACAGAGCAGTGCAGCACTGAAATTTCAACGGTTGCAAGTCCCGTTACAAAACCCTAAACCGTGCAAATCCTATTGACCCTAAGCCAGTGTCGGTGGGGTGAAGATCCGATTTTGAACCGCTGGCCAAGGCAAACGCTTCCGAAAGACGGCAATTACAGCGGCCAGCCTGCCCACCGTGTGGCTTTGAAGCAGTCAGGACATGCCAAGAAGCATGCAGTCCTCTCGCCCGACCCTTCGCCCTCCCCTCAAGAAAATCGAACTAATATACTAATATAGAAGCTTCAATAATTGCCACTATATTTCCATAGGGCTCGTTACTATAACTATACTATAAAGGCGCCCCAGACTCTGTTCGAATTCTTAAGGCCCCTGTATGAAAGACTTTCAAGACGGCAGGAAGCGCTGGCAAAGCCTCAACCTCCTAGTTGAACATTCGACAATACCCTGCACCCTGAGGGCTTAGCGTTAGGGGTTAGGGGTTTAGGGTTTAGGGTTTAGGATTTAGGGAACCGTCGAAGACTGTGAAACCAAAACAGAAAGCCTTAGACCCTCGACACCTAAAGCCTGGAACCCGCAACTCTTCGACACAACACTGGTTTGAGCTTGAGGGGTTTAGGGTTTATAGGGACATCCACATTCTGACACATTCTTCAACGTCGAGGCAGGGCACGGCCAACATGAGTCCAGACCGCTGTGCTGCGGCTGCCTTCAAAGAGGCGCGGTTGGGTGGCGTGTTCGATTTGCAGCTTTTGAGATGGATTAGGGTTTCAAGGTGTTGTAGTTGTAGCCTGCGGCTTCATGCTGCAGGATTTCTGTTCTCACGTTTATAATTGAGGGATTAGGCGATTCGTTTCTCTGAAAGAAGACGAGATTCACATTTTCCCTACCTCGTGCTTCGGGTATTGGCGTTGGGATGATAGGAAGAAGGGAGTGACAGGAAATCACTCCAAGCTCTACTTATTGGGCATTCAAGGCGATCCTTGGGCCACTCAAATAGTATATACTTTGGGCCCAATGTACCCATATAGGGAGTACTTTAAGGCCAATGTACATATTATTTCGGTACATGGACCCTTAGGGTAAAGCCCCAAACCATAAAACCGTAAACCCGGAAACCCAAACTTCCAATCTCGCAGATCGGTCGGCTCTTGGCGGGTTGAAGGTCTTATATATGGGGCTTGGGATTGTTTCGGCATGTTGGGGATTCGGGAAGGGGGCTTGGGGGTTTAAGTGTTGAGCACTCTGGAGTCTGGAAAGGTCCCCACTTCTTGTAATGATCGTCTTTTGCCTTTGGTTGCTTCTTGATAGCAAGAGCGGGGTCCCTGGTACTGACGACTCACGATGATTGACCCAAGAAGGGTGGTTGTGTGTGTGTGTGTGAATTGCGAGTACACTGTCGTTGAAGTACGAACAACATCCTGCGACGAGAAATTTCAAAAGGCATTATGGTGCTGATAAACGTTTACTCGAATCTCTCCCACACCAATTCCTTTACCTTACAGTCCAAGCCTAGAGCCCTAAGCTTTAAATCCGTATCTTTGACTTGCAAAGAAGCCGGTCAAGCTCGAGTGCAGGCGAAGCGCATCTCGAGAGTTCTGCGCAAGTTCGGAGCACCGGAGGCGGTGCTGAGTTCTAGTGGGGCTGCGGGGTTCCTAGGAAAGGCTTTAGGGTTTAGGGGTCTAGGGTAATTATAGACGCTGAACTCCTAAGGTGCTAGACAATGGCATTGAGGTTCCATAATCTGTTGTCAAGTCTCCGACTGTCCACTTGACTGTATCAGCATTTACACCAGACATGCGTGTGCGTGTACATTGAGGCAAACCAGAACGTAGATTGTATAGGGGCCTTACGAAACAGTAGGTATTGGTAGTACAAGGTACGAGTATGTATGTCCACCGAAGCCTTGTAACCCACAAGTTTAGAGATGCAACTTGCCCAGGGTTTCGGTGTGTTTTTCCCGGGTTCGGGGATCTGAGAGACACCAACCGTCTAGCCATGCCTCTGCACCGCTTGAGCCTGCAATGTCTGCCGCTGAAGGCCCACAGACCTATAAAGCTTGAACCCCTATGACCTATATATATATACATATATATATATATATATATATATATATATATATATATATAACCTATACGTAGCCCTTGACCTTGTCACGTTAAACTCCATTTATCGCCTTTAGCGACTTCGGCTGTACGTCTAGGTTTGGTAGCCAACAATCGAACAATGTCGGTTGTTTAGTCGTGCCGCACCGCATGGCAGAAATTGTAACTTGCACGGGTATCGGATGTTGGCGCTTGGGTGAGTGTTGTTTTAACCCTTCAAAACCCACGATATATGTCTATATATCTGTATGCTTGGCCTTTCTGGATATACAGGCTCACACACATACACTTTTCCACTCGCTGATAGAGGGATGGATGGATAAAGGAATCCAGCCAGAGAGCACAGCAGAGTGCCTTTGTGAGCAACGGAATGGGCGACCGAGTGTGTGTGTGTGTGTGTGTGTGTGTGTGTGTGTGTGTGTGTGTGTGTGTGTGTGTGTGTGTGTGTGTGTGTGTGTGTGTGGTGTGTGTGTGTGTGTGTGTGTGTGTGTGTGTGGTGTGTGGTGTGTGGTGTGGGTGTGGGTGTGGGTGTGGGTGTGGGTGTGGGTGTGGGTGTGGGTGTGGGTGTGGGTGTGGGTGTGGGTGTGGGTGTGTGGGGGTGGGTGTGGGTGTGGGTGTGGGTGTGGGTGTGGGTGTGGGTGTGGGTGTGGGTGTGGGTGTGGGTGTGGGTGTGGGTGTGGGTGTGGGTGGGTGTGTGTGGGTGTGGGCGTGTGTGTTGGTGTGTGGTGCAATGCTATCCATGTTGCAATCAGCCACCTCGTGCTGAGCCGTCAAGTAAGCATGTTGGATCCACTCCCAATCCTGTCGTCATACTGCTGCAGGTGGCCAGCCATCTTTCAGCAGAGGAGGCGCGAGAGATCCCACAGGGCCGGGGCGGACAAGCCGTGACGGATTCAGACTAATGTCGCTGGCCGCTGAGACCTCGAACCCCGTTTTTGTTAGACCAGGAGCGCGGTCTACCACCAGGTCCTGGTCTGTAGAGTGCACGGATTCAGGTTTGGGCTTCGGATGAGGCCGTGCTCTATCTACCATCGCTCTTTTGGGGGAGCTAATTTTTCCTTAGGCCGCCGAACCAGCGAGTGTTGTCTCCCGTAAAACCTTAAAAACCTGGTTCAATCCTAAACCCTAGATCCCTTTGTTAAATTTGGTCATTAAACCCTAACCCGATACCCTAGCTAAACCGGAGCCGGTTTCGAAAGAGGCGGAAGATCTGCATAAGATGCAGCTCATCTTGGAAGAGGACGCCTTTGGGGTTTAGCGGTTTAACGTTTAAATATGTGTTTAGGGTTTGGGGTTTTAGCATTCATTGGGGTCTAAGTCTAGTGAGTGGTTCGGGTCGAAGGCTTTAGGGGTTAGGGGTGCAGGCTGTGCAAGATATACGGGCCTGATCAATTACCAACACTGTACCTCAGGGCTCCTCAACAGTAGGGGTTTAGTGTTTGGGAGTGCAGGCTGTGTAAGATAAAAGGGCCTGAACAATTACTAGTACTATTCCTTAGGGCTCCTTGTCATAGTTATACGATAGTATACGAAAACCCAATGTTCTAATCTGCCAGGCTCGTATGTTAGGTTTCTGCAGGCTATTTGATTGCAGATTCTCCTCGTCGCCACCCTATTGCTGCTCCTGTTTCTGCTGCTCTTCCCGCTGCTGCAGCGATGCATGCCGCCTTTTTCTGCTAACACGGCCACACCTCTTGGTCCTAGTCTTGCTGCCGCAGCCATCGTCATGTCACCTCTCCCTCCGGAATTTGAAGGGTGCAAGTTGGAGGTTCCATACACGTGAAAGCTGTCTTACAATCCGGTGCAGCAGGCAACTGAAAGGCTCGTTTCTGGTTGTGCCCATGGATGCATGGGTGGTGGCTCGAAGTATTGAAAACAACTTCCTTCACTCCAAAACTCCAAGACCCTGAACCACCAAAACCCCTAACATAGGGGCCTCAATAATTACCAATACTTTTTTGGTGGTTCATTATTAGCATTATAGTATAACGGGCCCCAAAACCGTATTCTAATTATTAAGGCCCTATGCGAGAGTACCCCAATAACAACCCTTATAGACCCCCTTAAAGGAACCCTATTCTAACTTCGAAGGCCCCGCAAGTACCTAGCGGCTCCATAGTAGTTCCTTTTGGGGGTTCATATTTAGAACCCTATAAGGTAATCCCAAAAAGGAACTACTTTGGAGTCTTTGGGTAACCCTTAGCCGTCAGGACGTGAAAGAGTTGGAAGACCACTTGCAGCTGCCTGAGTATCAGGCCGAGGAGCAGTTTCTCGGCCCTTTCTCCCAGCTTCAGGGCCTCAGGGTTCCTTTAAAGGGGTCTATAAGGGTTACTATAAAGGCTCTATAAGGGGTCTATAAGGGTACTACATGAATGTAGCAACCTGATTAAGAAACCATGGGCCTTTATCGGCTTCAGGGCCTTAGGGCTTTAGGCGTTCAGGGTTGAGGGTTTGTTTGGAACATGTAGTTCTTACTCTGGCTGCTACTGTTGCGATTACTGCTAGTGTTAATTACTATTTGTACTGTTGCTGCTGCTACTACTACTACAACTACTACTACCACCACAACTACGTCCTGCATGTCATCACGCACGTCATCAAGTCTAGAGTCTAGAGCTCATCTCAAGTCAGAAAGCCTTGCGGTTCCTAGAATTCTGAAGCCCCCAGCTACACCCTCTCAGGCAGCTGTTGACCGGTTCATTTCGGCAAGAAGTTGCGTCAAGTCTGAGGGGCTTCCGGTTGCAAAGAGCATCTGCACAAATCCCTCCTCCTGCGACGACGACTGCTACTACCACTGCGACTACGGCGGCGATTGCGCCTGCGACTGTCACAACGGCTGCGAGCTACTTCTACTGCTACTTCTGCGAGTGCTGGTACGAGTACTAGCACTAGTACGACGACGACCACGAACGACGAGAAGTAATACTATGGCGACGGCAACCATGACGATGACTGAAGCTGCCAATTCGACTTCGACGATGACTACAGCGCCCACGACGACCACTGCCTGACGAACATGACCACGGCAATGTCGAGCACAATGACGACGACTACAAGATCGGCAAACATCAGCAGCATCAGGATCGGCATTGCCGACCGCACTGTTATCATCATGACCCTCAGCATCATGTCATCATCATGATCATCATCATCAGTGTCGTCTTCAACAGCATCACCATCAACAGCTTCAGTCACAGTCACCACCATCAACATTCTCGAACTGAGTGATTACTGCGTCGGTCTCTGGCTACAGCGGGTGTACTACGGGTACCAGTTGGTTTCGAAGATTGCCGATTGAAGGCATTGATCGAAGGGTTTCCGTGCTCCTCAGGCCGGTCAGCATGTGCCTTTCATCTACCCAGCTGGCAATATCAACCGGCTACTTATACTGGAACATATTGCTATACACTAGTCTGCATTTTTACGTATGTACACCCAGTCAGGTAGTCATTGAGGCAGGCAGCTGGAATGGCAGGTGATTTTTGGCGCTGAGTCCTCAACGGAGTCAACAATTCTGCTTGATCGTGGTGGTCCTTCCGTTTTATGGTTCTTGAATCGTCAGAAGCCTACAAACCTGAAACCCAAGAACCGTTGCTTCCCACACGTCTTGCAACCGCCAGCAAAGGCATGAAGCTTTTCAAGATAGCTCTTGGCTCCAGTGCTGGTGCGCCTGGGTTGCATCCAAGCCATCCGTCGGAATTGGGTTTGGGGCTCTGGGCTTGCGGTCTCCTGGTTAGTGTATCGTGGGCCCAGATCCAGCCACAATGACAGAAGTTGACAGGCATCTCAGAGTACAAGCAAGCTCATGCTCTACTTCATGAAGTACTTTCTCCCCACATTCGAAATGTACCGACTAATCATAAGAAGTTTCTTGCCTTTGTATATCTACATATTTACTTGCGAACATGCAAACATTGCCTCGAGGTAACATCTCCCACACACACAAACACACACAGAGACACACAGACACACACACACACACAGACACACACACACACACACACAGTTACACACAGAGACACACAGACACACACACACACACACACACACACACGCACACACACACACACACTCACACTCACACTCACACTCACACTCACACTCACACTCACTCAGACACACACACACACACACACGCACACATGCATATACGACACTCGCACACCCACGGACAGAGACAGGCAGACAGACAGACGAACAGACAAGCAAACAAACACTCAGACAGACGGGCAGACAGACAAATGGACAGACAAAGGAACGCAGAGACACAGATACAACAGATACGTGCGTACAGACATGTTGCACACATCTACATGAATGTGTCAGATACAGCTGGTATGTACGTACATACATGTTACATGCATATCTACGTTGTTTAAACAACTGCTAAACGGATACACATGTTCATACGCACAAGCACATTCGCATATTTCTATGGCGATGCAACCAGAAGAACAGGCACGCATGCATACCAGCATGTATACCAGCTTACCTACACATTCAGAATTGTGCCAGTATGTTCGCAGCCTGATTATGTTTTCTGGCTGTGTCCTTATCTACCTCTCTCTTGCCCTCTCTCTCTCTCTCTCTCGCAGACTCTATTGTATATGTTTATGTCACACGCACACGTATGTATAGGTACATATGTGTATGTACGTGATTGTACATTGTTGCATACATACACAAACATGCATGTCTGCGCAAACAGGTTCAGTCGCACATCGCTCTTCCTTGCGTTGGTCCTCGCTCTGTCTTTCTCTCTTCCTCTCATCTCTGTCATTATATATGTACCTTAACCTACAAAACCCTACATTTTTGTAGGTTCTTATTATAAGCCCTCATATGGAACTTATAGGGACCCTACAAAAAGGTAGGCTCTGGTGGGTTAGGGTATGTCTGTTTAACAGCTGTCCGTGCCGATCGATGACGATAGCTTCCAAACACCTCGCAATATGGGGGCCGGATAGCTGCCAATACTATTCCGTGCGGTTCCTCTTTGGAGTTGTACTACAGTATGCCACAGACCCCTTTTCGAATGATGATTATTATTCTTACTATTATTACTATTATTATTACGATCATCATTATTATTATTGTTATTATTACTAGGCATGTCGTCCTCGAGCCTTGAGCTCTTCGCTGCGGTTCTCAGGCGAGGACGGCAAGGGCCACGCTGTGCTGTACTGGGTGGACGCTCACTCTGGTCAAGTCACCTTCAGGTCTCTCTGCAGCAAGCTTTAGGGCTTAGGGGGGTTTTAGGGTTTAGGGGTATAGGGGTGCAGCAAGAAGATGGGGGGCCCAAAATCCCTCGTTTGAAACCACTTGGGCTGCTGCAGAGCAGGTTGAGGTTTGAGAAGATGGAGTTGGGACTGCTTTTTCTCAGGATGGGTTTTCGGGTTTAGGGTTTAAGCTTATGGGTTTAGGGTTTGTAAGTGTCTTGGGCGCACTCATCGTCGCATCTATCAAGAGGCTGGGGGGTATGCGCTTTGGTGGCAAGGTCGGAACCTGCTGAAACCTTTTTGCAAGCCCTTTCACCCCTTTCACCCTCGAAGAGAGAAACACCGCGTAAATAGCAGTTTCCACATCTACAGTCTCAAGACTACCGCTTGCACTCTGACCTGGAGCCTACGTTCACCAACCAAAACGTACCGTCCATGTAAATGCATTTTAGGCCGCATAACGAGATTCTGCAATTTACAAGGTAGCTCAAGGTATGCAGAATCGAAAACTGACTCGCTGCATAGAGCCATTAATCTGGGGGTCTACGTTCATTAACTTGCATCTAGCAATGTATTGATTCGGACCCAAAGAAACCTGCACCTGGCCCTGCCTGTTCATAGTATTCTCTTGGTTGAAGAGATGTGTTTGTTGTTGCAAATTCCGGGTTTGGGTGACATGCAACCGTATGTCCGGGTTGAGCCCGGAAGGCAGGTTAAGGCCTTGGCACCTGGAGCTTGGACACCGCCCCCACGCTGTAACAGTCTATATTGGGGTCGTATCAAGGACTCACACAAATACATATATATATATATATATATATATATAATATATATATATATATATATATATGTATATCTCTCTCTCTCTCTGTTCTATAAGCATTATCATCCGACTGTTGCAGAGTAGGGGCAATGTCCAACCTAAACACTACTACACCTAACGTGTAGGTCCTCGTTCCGCACTGCCGGACCTTAGCCCCTAAACCTTACAGTTGAAGCCGTGATGGGTGATAGTGAGAGATGGCAGACTAGTGCAAGCTCTGCAGCGCAAGCTTCTGCGTAGAAAGAGGCCACTGCATTTTAATTTTTTAACCTTACGGCCTTAGCCAGCCAGAAGCCCACAGGTCTTCGTGTTTAGGGTCAACCCTAGGCCCCAGCTCCTTGAACTTGGGACCCCCTTGGCAAAAAACCATAAACGCCCTAACCGCCCAGCCGCATGATACCCCAGTCGCACTCCACAAAACCTCATAGCACCTCTTAAGAACACAGAAGAAAGTCGTATGCTGAGGCAGCCTGCCAGTGGTGAGATCATCGACCTCGCTCGGCTGAGCGCGACTATTCAGGTGCCCTATCGGTCTGACGGTTTGGAGGTTGCTGTAAAGTTTGCGGTCTAAGGCTTTCGGGCTGAGGGGTTCAGGGTCGGGGGGTCGGTGTTGAAGGGTTTAGGGAGCTGATGGATTTGGGTGTGGGCTCTGACCAGGGCTTAGAGGCTAGTTGTACATCCCGCCGAAACAATGCCACGAGAGAGAAACAACAGCGCTACCTGAACGAGCAGCAGCAGCGAACAGATTACTGTAGCAGCATGCGCTGCTGCTCAACTCACTCTCAGAGCCACCATTATCATCGTCGTCACGTCCACCATCACCAACATGTTCATCGCCATAGCTTTGCGTCAGCTGCATGACCTGATCAGCTTACTCCGCCTTACCATTACCTACTCCGACGGCATCATCATCATCAGCTCGTCGTTGTCATCGTGTTGACCTTGGTCTTCACCGTGGCGAGTGTTACTGTTACTTTACATGTTGTTGTGGTGATAGTGGTATGCAGTGTTATCAGCACTCCTTTCCCTCCACCTCCTCCACGCCCGCATCACCATCATCATCCACAGTCTCACCACCACCATAGTCATCATAATGAGTGCTGCATCAATTCGGAAACCCTTGCCTGTTGAGGATTCCGTTACTTGTTGGCTGAACACTAAACTTTTCAACTTCCGGGGTTCTTGTAAGGAAGTCGATTCTGAAAGTTTCAACTCTTGTGTCCTTGGGTTTTAAGAGACAGCACAACGTCGTTTAATAAAGACGGGTGGCTGGCTGAAGAGCGTCGATAAATTTGGCTGGTGTCGAAGGAATAGGTTTCAGGATTCGAGGTATTGGGGCCGAAGGGTGACAAGGTTTCGGGTGGAGGGATTTGGTCTTAGCAACTTCCGATTGCGGAGGACTACCCGAAATCAGACGGGGCCACTTGCAGCAACATTGCCGTCTTGGAACCTCAACCTCACGTAGGACCTCGAAACCAGAAACCCAAAGAATTCAGTCACTTCACTGTTGACCTTAGTACTCGCGGAATATCCTGGGACCCCGAACAAGGCCAGTCATCGCCTCAAACCTCGCAAGCCGCAACCTTCAGGTACCCGAATCATTAGCGCTTGGGGTTTTAGGGAGCGCGGTGCCGATTATAGGGTTTGCAGCTCAGGCTTTAGGACTTTAGGTTAAATCCCAAACCCTCAACTTTAAACCTTCCTTAGACCCTCAACCCTAAAGCTTAAACCCCTACACACCCCAAGTCCTTACCCAAAGGCTCCAAAGTAGTTCCTTCCTTATGGGATTGAAAATGTGAACCCCGGAAAGGAACTACTATGGAGCCTCTAAGTAAGCACTCGACCCAAAACTGTTGGTGCTCGAAGTACCAAGGACATCCAGCAGCGAATCGATCATTCTCCGAAGCATGCGGATGAGGCCATCGTCGCTGCCGAGGCACTTTTTTCCGGCCGCAAGAGTTTGGAGCGTTAGGGTTGTAGAGGTTTGGGGTTTTAGGGGCTGAAGGGGCCCTAAACCTCTAAACCCCAAACCGTGGCTCTTCTGAAGGGGGTTCAGGGCTTTGGGGTTTAGGTGCACGGTTTCAGGGGTTTAGTGAGCAAGGCATCAGGGCTGTTGAGTTCAGGTGCAGAGTTTTTGGACTTTAGGTTGCAAGGTTTTAGGGAATAGGGTTCTGGAGGTTTGGGGCTTGGGGGTAATTTCGGGGGTTTAGGGTGTATGGCGGTTTAAGGTTTTGTTAGTTCTGAGTAGGCTTTTAGGGTTTTCGAGGGTTTGCATAGGGCTTTACGTTTTTCAGGTTCAGAGTTTAGGCTTTGGGGGGATGTGTGTTGCGAAGTCAAGGTATACGTGAATCCTGTGAAGTGATTAGATGGTTTAGGGTTTGCGGTTTTCGAATGTATGGGATTTTGGAGTTACGCTCGCGGGTTAAGGGTTCAGTGCTGCAGAGAAGCATGCCATATTTGGATCCTCTTCGGTTTCCTTAACGGTCCATGCACCTGTCTTTAGTAACTAGGCCTGTGGGTAGCGTATACATTGGGCGGCAAATCAGTATCATCATTATATGTACTGTAGGATCCCTTTTGCCGAGGCCGGAGTGTATCAGATGCAGGTACACGGACTCTTAGGGGATCTGTAGGGTCGGAATGCAGATTTTGGTGATGCTAAAGCAGGAAGCCAGAAGTCTTACGTCCCCCCCATTCGGAGATGCTGCAATTTACGGCTGAAACCCCCATATAAGCATTGGACATGAAGCTAAGCCTTCAACCTCTGACGAAACCTTCAACCCTGAGCTCGATGCCTTCAACCCCTAATTCGATACCCCAAACCTCTAAGTCCCACGGGCGTCTCTGTGTCAGGCTTTGCCTTTTGAGCTTATGCCAGAGACGCCCGATTCGGAAGAGAGCACGAAGAATTTGCTCCTCGATGCTGGTTAACAAAGGCCTTAAACTTGATTTCAAGCCTGGGATTCGTGGCTGGCGTGAGGTGTTTTTGGAAATGTTTGGGTGGCAGTGGGGTTTGTGAATTGCCTATTCGCGCAGTCAAGATTCAGAACACTGCTCCAAACCCTAAACTCTAAACCCTTGATCTTGAGGATGATGGTCTTGGAGAGGGTTTTGGGTTCAGGTTTTCTAGTTTAGGTCTTAAGGTTTGCTATAGATTGGATGGCAGAGCGATGTGCTGTGCTGCGCTTCTTTCGCCATGTCTTTGGGCAGAGCCACCGTTCGGATAACTTGGCTGAACACAGGGCGGACCCCGAGCTCTAATCAGCCCTTAAAGGCTCTTTGCAGCGGCTTAGGGTTCAGGGTTCGGGGTTTAGGGTTTGGAGTTTAGGGTTTGGAGTTTAGGGTTAGGGTTCAGGGATTCAAGATGATGATTGGCATTGCCAGCACTAGCCCTTAGTGGGAAGTATGGTGCTCCTTCTCCCTCAACGCACCCCAGCCCCCGAAATCCCACACCTAAAAGATAAGTAGTTGCTAGTCAAGGCTCAGTAGCGGTTGTGTTTTTCATGGTGTTCAGTGCTTCCTTTAAAGTTCTTAAATACTAGTGCCAAAAACGAGGCCGTGGAAGTGCATCCAACGTTCATGCCAGATGCAGATCTTGCTGTGCCTTCGCTCAACTCAGCTCTGTCCTTGGTGCTTCGGGAGGTTTAGGGCCGGCTTGAGCTGAACCCGTCAAGGAACCCTTTCAAAGCATGCCCTGTAGGAAAGCTGTATGAGCTGCTTGTGGATGAACACGTACAACCCCCTGCTACCTAGAGGGTCATACCCATTTCATGGCTAGGATCTGATTACTGCAGAAGTAGGTACCTTCAAACAGGTATAGGGTATGAGGTATGATTCGGGTATGATCATATAAGCAGGTCTAATGTGCAGAGCCGTTAAGCTTAGTAGCGAATAGGTCTCCTTTACATGCTGGGGCCTATGAAACCCTAGCAACAATCACAAGGCCAGCATTTGTGCTGCTACCTGTGGTCTCCATCGTAGTTCCTTTTTTGGTTTAACCACTTATATATTAAGGATCCTAAAAGGTAAGCCCCAAAAAACGAACTACACTGGAAACTACAGGTAGGGGACTTAGCCCCAAAGGTTCAGATCTGCAGGCCTGATCTTTTTTGGGACATCGACTTCCGTTCTTCCAACTCTAGGCCTGAACCCTTCACTCACTCAACCCTTGAAATGGGTTCTCGCCAGGGGGGCTTAGTTGAAGATACCATGGTAGGGATCGAGAGAAGATAAGATGGTTTCCGTTTTATGGCAACTCAAACTAGGTTCCTTCACAAAAGCCCAGCAAGTCTCACAGCCGCAAGTTTCAAAAAATTGCTTCGGGCTCGATGCCAAGCCCGTGGCCTCAACAACTTTAGTGCAAGTTAGGGGCGCTGCGAGAAGTGTATGGCTGTGGGGGCCCAGGTTTGTGGTGGGGCTGCGGCTTCTTTAATGAAGCTGCCATAAAGGGCAGGGGTCGAGGAGGTGCTGGGTGTTCGGCTCACCACTAAATGTAGTCACTAATGAATCTATTGCCTTCAACCTCAGCCTTTCAACCCCGATTGGTTACAAACCAGCGAATATTGGGTCGATATAAGTTTAGCGGCATCTTGTGTAATCCAAGAAAGGAAAATAAGAACAGGGGTGAAGCTAGCGAAACTTTCACCCCAAGCCGTAACACACTTGAAGGCCCAAGACCCTACACTCTATAGCCACAAAGCCTTGAACCCGAAAGCCCAAAATCCATCATCCCAAAACCTCAATCCCAAAGCGTGATGGTTCCTTTGGGGTCCGGCCATGGGTCTGTCCACCTATGGTTTACATAAAGATCAAGCAACTTGGGGTGTGTATATATATATGTACATATATATATATATATAATTATATATATATATATATATATATATTAATGTGTATATATATGTACATATGTATATAAGGTAACACTAGTTATGCTTGCTTGTCAATCCTACGTACGAGGGTACCTGTAACCTGACTACATAAGTGGCCTGATTGTCCTGGTGGGGCTCAGGGTTTGCAACACTTTAAGCTTGACTTCTGGATTGAAGGCATTGTCCTCTACCCAAAGGCTGGAAAGTAGTTCCTCTTTGGGATTACCTTATAGGATTCCAAATATAAACCCCAAAAAGGAACTACTATGGAGCTCCTCTACTTGGAGGTTCATGGGTAGTTCTAAGTGGGGTTATAAGTAGGGTAACTATACTTATAACCCTAATTAGGGGACTTGTAACCCCATTATAACTACCCATGAACCTCCAAGTAGACTTCAGTAAAGCCTCCAAGCTTCAAGTTTGCGATTTAGGACTGAGGGTTTAAGGTTCGGGGTTTTGCTTGGAGTTTGCTCCTCGTTCCCAAAGAGAGTTGCTTGCCCTGCCTGCAGGTGGATCTTCACCATGGTCGTCATCGCGGTGGATACCTAGATCTGTTGGGCTTTTCGCTGAGGGCTTTGGGGCCTAGTCGGGCAGAAGGAATTTTGGTGGGCTTGGAAGAGACGGCTGCCACTGCGACAGGCAGAAGCATTCGAGTTTCATTCCTTGGCTCCGCTTTTGCAACCGATGTCGTCTCATTAGCAAGCCGCTGTTTGGATGTGTGATGCGTGTTATTCCGGGCATTCTTTGCCTTCGATGGAAGCGGGCAGGGCAGTGTCGGGTCTTTGTGTGAAACTCGAGAATGCGCAAGGGATTTGGGATTGCACGGCTTATGAGTGCCAAGATGCGAGGATGCTTTTGTAGGCATTACAGTTTTGATTCGGGGTCATCCCCTTGCAGTAAGCACATCAAATGCCGAAATCTGACACTTAAACCTCTACATGCCTTAAGGTTAATGCAAAAGAAAATACCCACAACCCTCAAATATCGCCCGGATACGCATACTACATCCCTGAGGACTCGGACTACCATGCCGCTTGACTTTCACGGAAAGTCTGGCTTTTTTTAGGGTTTTCCTTGAAGCATACCTGCGGGATAGCTGTCCACATGCTTGCACACCTCCTTTGCACCCAGCCAGCCGATCCCTGAAGCAAGCATTCGCAAGCCATACTCGAGTAGTCGACGACGATGCGACTGCGACGACGGGCCCTCCAACTACTACTACTACTACTACTACTGCTACTACTACTACTACTTCTACTACTACTACTACTACTACTGCTACTACTACTACTACTACTACTACTACTACTACTACTTCGACTACTACTGCTGCTACCTACTACTCCTGCTACTACTTCTACGACTGCTACTACTACTACTACTACTATTACTACTACTATTACTACTACTATTACTACTACTACTACTACTACTAGTACTACTACTACTACTACTACTACTACTACTACTACTACTACTACTACTACCACTACTACTACTATTACTACGACGACGACTACTACTACTGCGACTACCTTCTGCTAGTTCTGCTTGTGCCGGTGAAGTCTCATGGTTACTGCTCATGTAAGACACGTGGCAAGTACAACTAAGCGTGTGCGCTCCTAGTGCTTTTCATTTTGGTCGTTTTGCACTCTGAGTTTAGGGTTCGGGCTTGGACTTCACAGAAGATGCCAACACACAAAGAATTGGGTTCGGAAAACGCAGCCTCAATGCAGAGTGTTCTTTAATCCAGAGAAAAACGGGCATCAGTAAAAACAAGCACCAACATCAGTAGAACCAGCCGCTGTGCTAGAAAGCCCTGACAACCCAGAGATCGCTATTCTTCCGTCTTGCTTGTCCGACACTCTACCAATAGGCTCCATAGTAGTTCCTTTTTGGGACTACCTTATAGGATTCTATTTTTGAACCCCAAAAAGGAACTAGTACGGGGTCTATGATCAGGTTCTAAGGCATGAACCCTGGAAACAGCAGAGTCCAAGGCTTCACGGCTGGCACCTGCTGATCTCTTCGACAAGTCCTCGGTAAAGCCGGTTGAGATGCTAGCAGGCTGAGATTTTGCAGGGTCTTTAGAGTCTTGGGCTTAGGGCAGAGGATGCGCGAGGGCTGAGATTTTCGTATGCTTATTGAGTTTTAGGTTTGGGGATGTATGATGGGGGTTTAGGGCTTCAGATCTACAGCGTTGTCTCGAAGATTTCCTACGTCTTGCAACGCCTGAGGGCTAGAACCTAGGGACCTAGAGGCTGCATAGCGCACGAAGCCTCAGTTTGGGGTTCATGTATTCATGTATACACAACTATGCTACAGATGAAAAGCTGTTCGTAAGACTAGAAAATTTAGGCCCAAGAACAATGTACCCCGAAACTAGTCGAGCATCGAAGCACGAGGTTCAGGAGAGCCCAGGGCTTGCTTGTGCAGCCACGATGGTCTTGGTGGACAGGCCGTTGAGCTACGTAGGGGTCCGAATATTTACCAATGCGATTTCTCAAAGTTTCTTCATATTTCTTAACCCCAAGACCCTGCTATTTCTCAAAGTTTCTTCATGGTTCTTAACCCCAAGACCCTGCTATTTCTCAAAGCTCCTTCATAGTTCTTAACCCCAAGACCCTGCTATAGCTCCTTCATAGTTCTTTACCCCAAAACCCTGCTATTTCTCAAAGCTTTTTCATAGTTCTTAACCCCAAGACCCTATTCTAATTACTACTGAGGCAAGGAAGCTTTGCCGTGCCGTTTCTTCACAAACGAAGCAATACAGAGGTCTTGGAATACATCCGTGTAACTACCTTGGGAAGGGACCGTAAACCAAAAGCTCCAGATTGTAAATGACCATAAACCCTAAGCTTTCCCAAACCCTAAAAGCCGAAAACAAGAGCCGTATTATGTGACCCTAAACCCGAAACCCTAAACTCTACACCGTTTTGCAAGCTGAGGTACTGGCCACATGGGGCATTCCGCCCATCTGCCTTGAGCTGTAATCCCGAAGCCAAGCGCCTCGGCAGATCTTAGTGTACGTGGCCTGGAGATTCCCTACAAGGCAGGCTACAAATCTTAAAAGATAACAAAAGACTACAATGATATATATTAAAAACAAATTTCATAAGATGCTTTCAACTTGTAGAATGTAGATAACTGTTTCTAGTCCTTACGAGACTTAACTCAATCTTGCCGCAGCTTTTGGTCGTCACCCTTCTCCCCCTTCCCCCACAACGGCCCAAATGGCGAGCATTTTGGACATAAGGTCGAAAAACAGTGGTTCTCATGATTGAGTTGCCGGCGTGCAGGTTCTGAGAACATGAACCCTCGTAACCAGGGAGGGATGCTCTGTTCGGTTTCCACTCTGTCCTCACCAACATCGCAAGCATCATCACCACTGCAATCATCATTAGCATCACATCATCATCGTCGTCATCATATTCATCGTCGTCTTCATCTTCTTCATCGCAGCCATCATCATCGGCAGCATCATCCTCGGCACGATCACCCGTATCGCCCTCCGCCGCCTCCTCTTCCTCCTCCTCCTGCTCCTCATCATCATCCTGATGACCATGGCCATGGCCCTCATCTTCAATTAGGGTTTAGGGTTTAGGGGGCTTAGGGTTCATGTTCAGACTCAGCATTAGGTGTGTGTTTGGTGCACGGTGTTGGGTCTCCGAAGCTCCAGGCAAGAATCCCCTGCACAGACCCCAGTGCAGGCTTAGGCTCTGAGGCCGACCGAGAATGCGGCCCCCACCACCCCACCCCCCCGCCCCACACTCAGTCCAAGAGTCTAGACCTCCAAGTCCAAGGTCTTGTAATTCTAACGACTCGGGTGCCCTACCATGGAAATTGCTGAGTCGAGCAGCCTGGTATGTAAGAACCCTGAGGAACGTTTTGAATCGGTCTTCCTCTCTTCCCCTCGTCTTGTGAGCAATGCGCGGGGCCCAGGTTTGGATAATTCTTCGGGTAACTATGCAATACGGCACTGACAACAGCCAGGGATCTCAATTTCTGTAATATCGGGGCCTTAATCATTAGTTAGAATAGGGTTTGGGGCCCATTCTGCTTCAATTATTATGAAGAATCACCAGACTAGTATCGGTAGTCTAGGCCCATATATCACTTCCAAATCCCCCATCTCTGCTTGCCCAGGAAATTCGTTCTCAGTGATCAGTTTGAGATCTATGGTGCGGACTTAATCTTGGAGGGCAAGGACAGGGTGGCAACCCAGCCACAAAACCGGGCGGTGGGGTCAGGCTATATGAGCTCTTTTTGATTTTGTCGCGATTTAGGTTCAGTGGTTTCGGACTTTAGATTTTCTGGCCATGTGTACCAGTGTCGGCAGAAGAGATCTTTGTTTTTTTGTTGTGGTCCCCGCAACGCCAGGTGTGTATTGCATCTTACTTGTCAAAGAGCTTGCAGGCATCCGCAACACACACACACACATGTTATTTCAGAGGGTTTTTGCGACAACGAGGACCAAAACAACCAGCATGCCTTGTTTGACGCCACATGCCTACATGTAAGGCAAAGAGAATTAAGCTACACAGAAATGGGCCACCTGATCAGATCAGGGTTACCATTGCCCATCGGTATCACAACCCATCGGAACGTCGGAAATGATGATGATGCTGGTGGTGGTGCTGCTACTCGTGCTAGTGATGCAGACGAGCAGTGCTGATAGGAGCACTGGCTTGCAGGTTATGTAGGTTGAGTCTCAAGTCACTGCCTTCTTCATAACTTTTTGGAAGCAGAGCTGCCCCAGCACAACTACCATGCGAGAAGCCAGTTCAGCCGCAGGCCCGAACTCCTAGGACAAAAACCAATGCCTGCATCCCTGAAGCCCGAAATGTGACGCAGCCTCGACAGGAGGAGGACCTGTATCAAAGCACCTTGCCACTTAAGAATGTGCCTTGACTTATCCCAGCATCAGACAAGAATGCTCATGAAGGTTGTAAGTCAGAACCTCTAAGCACATGGGAAACTTACTATGGGCTTCAGGTGGCAGAACTATTCTTAGTAATGGTACACTCATTACAGTCCCGACTGGATTTTAACTTGGGAACTGTAGTGAGTATATCCCGAAGCCCCATTCAATTTATTCAGGCCCCTTGCCATTGAATGATATTTGGTTTGAATTGGAACGTGGAAACTGTTGTGCCGTTTCCTGACTTGTGTTTACAAGGATAAAGATACCCATGTCATCATCATATTAGGTATTGCCATCGTGTGGAGTGATTTGTGTGTGTGTGTGTGTGTGTTGATTTGTACACGTGGTGTGTCCTCTTTCCCTTGCTTCGGCCATGTTCTGCAGCCGTTCTGCAGTTGCTCTTTGTTGAGATATGTACAGGCATGTGATCTTCAGCAAGCGGTGATAAGCAAACTTTTATAGGTTGCTTACCTTTGGTTAAAGCGATTCGGTTGCTGTGGTCTCGAAATCCGGCTTTCTTCGGTGTCTGGGAGTTTATGAGTTTCCTAAAGTTGGAAATCGTGGTCCGGTAAAAGGGCGTGCGCTTTTGGATGTGCGACTCCTCTTCCCGCCACAAACCCGTGTTTCCGCCTCCTGAAATCGGACTCCACCACTCTTTTTCGTGCATATTTGCGTGTGACTCGCGTTTCCGCCTCCAAGCGTTGTGTGTTCCTGCCGTAGCCCGAAGTCTTGTTGCCGCAGTCAGGTCTCTGGTGACCCAAACACCAGTCGTAGCTGAAGGAGTTTCTGATTCAAAACAGAAGCAAGGTCAACCTTGGGCATACAGAATCACCGGAGGCGGTATGAACCCAACCTAGCTTGACCCGTTTGGGATTTCTGAGCCCGACCCAGAACTCAAAGCTTGAAGCGCAAGGCCTAAGTGTTTCAGGTGACTCTTAACCCGGCGCTTCCTACTGCATCCTTGCGCACCCCTTGGAAAAGCATCGGAGCCTTGTCTTGTGCAGGGGTGCCTTCCTGGAAGTGAGGCAATGGTACTTGTGCTAATCTTCGACAGCAGCAACAACACCATTCTCAAACCCTAAACCCTAAACCCCCAAACCTTAAACCTTTGTCAACCACAGCGACATCCGAAGCAACTCAGACAACACAACAAGAGCAGGAGCGAGAGCGAAAGCAAAACAAAGAGAACCATTGGCAACAGCAACGACGGCAACAGCCACCGCTGCAACACTGATTACTCTGATGACAGGTTATGGTGCCAAGGCATTGTAACTAGCACCTGTGGTACGGACAACCAGCACAAGAATGAAATCATGATGTAAACAAGCATTCGAGACGAAAGAGATCGAAACAGCATAGGAGTTCACATCGCAACAGCAAAGCAAAGACCGCAGTATGCAGCGCAATCTTCTGTTCATCTAAAAGCCATATAACAGCACAGTGTTCGTATATAATACACCCAATCGCCTAGGAAGTGGGACAGGTACGGCGTTGCTTCTTCATCTGCCATTGTTCCTGTTCTTGCATCTTTCCTTTTCTGGCCAGGGTTTCGCTAAGCCCTACCAGAGGCCCCATAGCAGTTCCTTGTTGGGGTTCCTATGTAGAATCCTATAAGGTAATCCCAAAAAGTAGCTACTGTGGGGCCGATGGGTAAACTCTACAACATAAGCCCTGAACTCTCAACCGTTTCGAACTGGGACCCCGGGGCCGCGAGATGTGCAGCGCTTCATGGAAGATCGGAGATGTAGGGCCAGGGTTGCGGGCAGCTTGATTAGGGATCAGGGTCTGGGATTTAGGGTGTAGGGTAAATCAGCATCTAACCCTCCACCCTAACGGCCATTCATGGTCAAAGTTTAGGCTCACAGGGCCCGGCCGGCTAGAAGCTACGCTTCAAAGGCAATCCTTTTCATGCAAGAACCCGAAACCGGTCCTTACGTTCACCCTTTACAGCTTTCAGATCTTTGTTAGCTGAGGATATCTTCACAAAAGGCAGCGTGTTCTGCTGCTGGACCGGGATGGAAGGTCGATCGTAGAGCACTCGCTCAACATGGGCACCAGCTACACTGAGCTCCCTGGCCGGCAAGTTAGGGTCCTAATAACAAATCAGTCTATACATTTTTTGTATCAAGGAACCTGAAGGAATAATAACCATTGGGCTTGGCATGGCTTGACTTCCAGACTGTCGACTTCGGCACGTCAATCCAGCAGTCTCTACCCCCGCCCCCCCCAGACAGAAGTTCGATAAAGTGAATCGTTTAGGGCCAGTGCTAAGCTGAATAAAGTACCCCCAAACCTATTGGCTTTTGGTCGGTGTTCAGGGCTTAGGAGGCCCGGCAGCTGTGATCATACTTGGAAGCGTCCTACACAGAAAGCCCGTCTAGTTAGAGTCTAGTATTTAGTGTTCAGGGCCTCACTCCTAACATACAACGCTTGTGAGAGAGCGCATCATCTGCTCTTTGGTAGCCTGAATAGTTACCACTACCGTTCCTCAAGGTTCGTTGTTATAGTTATACTACATGCCCCCCAAACCCCATTGTAATCGTAATTGTTAGTGCCATATATCAGGACCCCAGCCCCTAAATGAGTCTAGGCCATGGATGAGTCCGGATCTTGCGCAGTTTGTGGATCTTAAGCATGGAACTGGTCAGCCTACAGGGTCTTCACATAAAGGATGGAACAGGGCTTCGAGAACAATGTTTAGTTTTTCACTGTGGTGATGTTCGCTGTATTATGTTGCATCAAAAGATGCGTATTTAAGTGGCCGTTGTAGGTCTGCCTAGTTTTATGTGATGCCCCTCAAAGTGACCCTCATTAATTAGCTCGGGGCGCCAATTGAGGACGTGGTCTGTCTTTGTCCTCGTTTTGTGCTCGGAATTTGTTGGGCTCGCCTACTTTTTCCCGTCCTGTAAACCCTAAACCCTAAACCCTAAACCCTGTCCTGGTAAACTGTAATTTTGTAGTCTTGGCAAAGGTAGCCTGAAGTGACCGATCTTTGGTTTCGAGGTTTTTGTGGTCCCAAACCGCCCTAGCCCCGTAAACGCTCTCATTCAGCCGACAGCGCTATAACATAAAGCCTTCATATGCCTCACTGTACCTCTACTATTCCCCAATCTCCCCAACCGGACTCTAAGCTGCAAGCATGAATCCACCCCAGACCAACTTCTCTTCGACCCCGTGAAACATCCGAAAACCCTCCTCAACCCTAAGCCGCTCATGTAAGCCGTCCACACAACTTTCCTTTGACAGCATTAATCTACGCGAAACTTCAGTGTTTTTTTTGATTGAGAGTCATCTACTGTGTAGTACTATGTCGACCCAGCGGGAGGGTGGGGACCCGAGTGGGGAAGAGCGTGGGTGACGGCTTTTTCAGAACGCAAAATGTTTCGTGGAAGAGGGGGTGGCCTCACAACGTTGCAGCAGTTGAGGACCAAGTGGCTCTTGAGTGAAAGCCTCCCTCAGCGCCTTGAGGCTCGATTTTGGGGTTTAGGGTTTAAGGTTTAGGGTTTAGGGTTTTAAGAGTCTACGGTTTAGGCTTTTGGGTTTTGGGGTTTAAGGTTTAGGGTTTAGGGTCTTGAGGCTCGGTTTTCCCGTTCGGTTCTAGGCTTACCCAAAAGCTCCAAAGTAGTTCCTTGTTGGGAGTACCTTATAGGATTCTAAATATGAACCCCCAAGAGTCAGAAAGAGGAACTATTATGGAGCCTCTAGGTAGGGCCGTTTTTTGATTTATATAAGGGTTTGGGGTTTAGGATCGTTTGCATGTGGTTCAGGGTCAGTGAGGCTTTGAGGCTGACTGCTGGTGCAGGGGAAGTCGGCGTCCGGATAGGGTCTCCAGGTTTTCGGGTGGTTTGCCAAACTTGCCGTTACTGCGGAGCCCTGGGTATACCTTACGTGCTCTTCGCAAACTTCCCGACTCTTGCACATTGTGGTTCTTTTGCTTCCTGGTTGAGCTCCTAATCTCCTATGGGAGTTTCCGAAAACAAGGGGCACCTTATTTTGGGGTCCTTATAGTAAGGATCCTACTATTTAGGGTACTATATTAGGGTCCCCTATTTGCGGAAACTCCCATATGTCGTCCTTCAATCCTGAAACCCAGGCCGACTACAGCAGTACTTGTTGCTGCGCACTACCGCAAACCCCCGAACCCGAACCCCAAACTCCTAAACCCTTATCCCCAAAACCCCACACCCTCAACCCTAAACCCCCAAACACTATCCATTTACGGCGGTCACTGCCAGGTCATCCAGCCGGTGGAGGCTGGTGGGGTTGTGCATCCATGGTATGGCCGCAGGCATTAGGCAACAACCATAATGGACTTCATAACAACAGCAATAATAAAAACTACGAAAACCTGGCAGCAATACTAGTTCATAACAATCATAGTAATCGTAATAATCATACACAAAATTATCATAAAAGTATACAGTAGTCATAAGGAGCTGTGGGATGCGAGGTTGCTGTCCATCTCCCATGCAGCTGCCTAAGTGGCCGCTGGAGTTGTGGAGGGAAGTCAGACAGCAGTGTTTTCCGTCCGATTAAATCGCTTTCAGTGTTGCTCTTTTCTGATGAGCATTTAACCCCCTTGGTTAAAAACTTCGAAGCTTGATAAGTATGTACAATTTCCAACGGGCCACTCGTTATAGGTATGGCCCGGCAGTCATGGCAGGTTAACTTATTCGGAACAAGGAGGCCAAGTATCCAGGTCCAAATCCATAGCTACACTTGAGGGGACAAGGTTCCTGAGAAGAAAGTATGATGTACCCCAAAACCCATCCTAAAAATCAAGGCCCGATATTAGGGGTATCGCGAGCCCTGGTCTCTTCAACCAGAACCCAGAAGCCTCCTCCCGGAAGCCTTTTCCACGAACGGGATAGGAATGCTGACAGTCATCGGAACCCAGATGGACCTTTAGAAGTATAAGTTACTTATACTATTTTGGGGTAAATTATAGTTTAGCCCGAAACCTTATTCTATTTACAGGAAGATTCTCCATGTTCTTAGAGTCTGCACCAGGACAAAGGCGCAGGCGTTTGCGCTACAAAAGATACCGGGCTCGTCAACGTGGGATGCTCGCCTTGATTCGGGACACTGATGAAACCATCATTCTGAAGCCTAGACGTAAGACTAGCCCTGTAGAGTACGTAGAGTATGCTCCAAGACCCTAGTCTAGTCATGGAAGCCCCTAGCTAGAGCTCCATAGTAGTTCCGTTTTGGGGCTCATATTTAGAATCCTTAAGGTAATCCCAAAAAGGAACTACTTTGGAGCCTTTGGGTAATTATAAGACTCCAAGGATGGGCGCTGTACGCCTCCACCGACTCCGGACAGGTGGCAGCTCGGATCCAGAAAGGAGCTTGCGGGGGATTTGCAGTTTAGTATAAGTTGGAAGGTTTGTGGTTTTTTCAGCGGGCAGAATATGGCAGAATCGTGCTGAAAGCGCAAGCTCAATTCCAAGCATGTCCAAGTTGCGGAAAAGCGCTCTTGCTGGCGCGCCGCAGGAAAAAGAGGTCAGTAACAGCCGAGATAAAAATTTGGCACGTGGCAGCAACTGCTCAAGGATTGAGCGTCGCCCACCACGGCCTGGGGCCGTGTGAGATAGTGCAGGGGCGCCATGCGCCACTACCCGGTTGATGCACTTCTGGCACGTCCTGGATCTCCGCTTCCGCGTAAACTCTGAGACATCGGGGACTCCGGCGGAGATGTACCGCGAGTCTTTGTCGAGTCCAGTATTCACCTGTACAGACTTCGCACCTTGACCCGATGGCGCTGACGGCATGGAGCGCACGCTGGCCGTGTTTGGTGGCGGTATGCACCGCCAGCCTGCGGTAGTCGGCAAACGCGGATGGGCACTTCTCGCATTGCCATTGCAAGGCCTGGCCGGAGGCGGCAGTTATGGTGACCGTGTCACACGGTTCCCTTTGCTTTAGGTCATCCCATGACACTCGCCTGCCCTCAATGCGCTGACGGATGAATCGCCGACAGGCTGCCTTAGTGATGGCATGTGGAGCCCGCAGGTGTTCAACAATCTGCGGAAAGGTCTTTTCTCCAGGGGGCAGAAGACCGATCTCAGAGGCAGCATGGGTGACGGCTGGCCACCATTTGTCATCATGGGAGAGCTCTTCTAGCACAGGGAGCATATCACTGCGGGCAAGTTGTGTTGCCGCCCGTAAGCGCTCGACTGCCAGAAGCTCAGCGGGCGTGGGCATGCGGAGCGCGCTTGCTAGTTCAAGGCTGGAATAGCCCTGACTTTTGATGCCAAAGATGGGCTGGAAAGAGCCCCGGTAAAAGCCGTTAATGGCCCCTTCCAAGGTCTCTTCTTCTTGACGGGTCTTGACACTCCATAGCCCTGAGCCGTACATCATGCGCGGGATCACCCGGCTACGGAGGAGGTCAATCTTTTCCTCCCGTGTAAGCGCCGGGTTGCGCAGGACTCTCGCTTTGAGGGGCCTATAGAGCTCTCGTGCCAGCTCTCTGCGACGCCGGATGGCGGGAAGTGAGTGCCCATCCGCTTGGATTGTCGATCCAAGGTGGTCGTATGCCGCAGTAATGCGCACATGTCCCTGCTCGTAGTGCGAGCTGTAGGGCAATTGTGGGTCCGTCTGGCTGAGATACTGGCGTCGGACCTCGCGGGAGCCGGGGCCGTAGAGAGCCAGGATCGTTTCGGTTTTGCCGAGGCCCATGTTAGCCTGGAGTCCCGCCTCATGCATGCGATCAAGGAAGAAGGCTAGGGTGTCGGCTGTTGCCGCCGGGACGAGCTCAGCCGGCCCAACTTCGACCAGAATGCAGACATCATCCGCCCATGTAGGTGTATAGCCGGGCGTGTTGGCGGCTTGTGCAGTGAGCCGTGAATGCCACCCGCGTTCTCTGAGATATGCCTGTGTCTGCCGCAGCAGATCACCAAAGACCAGAGAGAACATGACGTCAGCAAGTGGGGACCCGGGTGCGGTCTGCCGGCAACATATGCCGTGGGGGAGTTATGCCTGGGCACGTACCAGGTCTGATCAAGCTGGCGCTGCAGGTATGTACGTAAAGCAGGCGACATAGCCTCGTCGAGCTCAGCATTGCTGTCGAGCATGCGTTGCACAAACTGCTGCCGGAGGTCCTCAAACTGAAAAAGGCGGGTGGCACGTTGCTCAAGGAAAGTGCGGTCGCACCTTTGGGCAGGTGTAAGGGACAAGAGATCCTTGGCAATCGAGTAGTAGGCGGCAGCAGCGTCGATGAAGATAACCGCTCCGCTTTGGCGGGTCCGTCGGAGCCGGTGGAGGTGAGCCTTGACACAGGCAGACGGTTGTGTCAGAGCATATCCTGGCCGTCCTCCCATCTGGTCCGGGACGCTTAAATGGGTCATCGCCTTGAGAAGGGATGGGCGCATGCTCTTTTGCAGGGCTTTATTGTCACCTTCCAGGAGCATAATGGCTCTGTAACCTTTGTGCTGTGTGCAGGGCTTGCCAGGTTTGGGAACGCAGGTGGCAAGCCCACCCTTCCATTGGAAGGGTGATGGGTCACGAAGGAAGAGCTTGCAGGCAACTGGATAGTACAAGAGGGCCTGTTGGAGTGGGCAGGCCCTGTATGCTTCAGAAGCAATCCCCGAAAGGCCAGCAGCTCGTCCTGTCCGCAGGCTGGCGAAACCGGATGCAAGCCCTGCCAGGCTGGGGAGGTCACTTCCTTGCAGCGGTTGGCACGCAACAGGTTCGCTGGCTCCTTGGCCGGCCAGTCCTTCGATAGCGACGGGCTCGGCCCTCTCGGCCGCGGCGAAAAACCTCCCGGGCCATCGTACAGGCCAGAGCCGAGGGACCCGCCCAGTTCTCCCATCGCCTGCGGGCAATCCTCCGTACGGGACGACGATATCGGGCCCCTGCACTCCTCCCATGTCTGAAGGATGAACCGGGTTGTCCGATGGACAAAAACCACGTTTCAGATAGTTTCGGCGAGTAAACTCTGCCTTGTCGGTCCACATTGCGCGGCGGAGCTCCTTGCCCTGTCGATACTGACGTGCCCATCTGGCTGCAGCACATATTCGGGCTCCCTCCTCGGATCGGATGATTGCAAAGGCTGGCCTGCCCTGTTGCGCCCAAGCTCTGAGGCACATAAATTTGCAGGAATGCCCGGCGTGAGGTCTGCTGTGCGTGTCTCGTACAGCGTCGCAGGTGCCGTTGCAGCCGAACCTTGTCCAGAGTCTCAGGTGTCAGGGCAGGGTTACGTGGCTTGGGCGGCATCGCCGGTACACACGACAGCACACCATGGTAGAGGTGCTGTTGCAGGACATCCACATGCGCGGTGGTCCGAGTGGTCCATGGCACAGGTGGGCTGAGATGGGCCACCGTGGAGGCAACTTGTTGGCTCGCAGGTAAAGTCCAAAAGCGACAATCAATACGGTTGCGATGCTGCACAGGCGTAGCATCTACCGTGGCTTCCAATCGTAGCAAGACTGGCTGATGGTCAATATCCTCATACAGGTCCCCAAGCCGTGGGGTATCCTGCACCGTGCAAGTGCATTCCCAGTCAGCAGGCATCGCAATGTAATCGATGAGCTTGCGATGGCCTTGTGGGCTAACCCAGGAGTGCAGCGGGGCGCCATTGGCCAAGAACTGTGGGCTTAGACCAAGCGCCCGGGTCGCTGCAAATTGCTGTAAGCATACCGCATTGTTGCAGAGTGGCGAGCAGAGAAGCGTGCTTGGAACAAGAGGCTGCCGGCTAAAGGTCGCATTTGCATCGAGGAAAAGCAGCGGGACACAAGTGGCGGGGGTGCGATGGAGGGTGGTGGCAAGGTGGCCCCACCAGTCTTGTATCACATCAGCAGCTGTAGGAGCTGGTGGGGCATGGGCAGACACAAGTAGCATTTTCACCCCGTCAAAAGAGCCGAGGACAACTAGTATCTGCGGCTCTTGGTGGACGATAGTGAAGGCTTGACGATCCCAGCGGGGATTGTGTCTCACCCATATTTGAGCACCTCCAATGCCTTGGTCGGTGCAGGGTGCATGCAGGACCCAGTAATCGTTTACAGTAGTAATGCCCGTTTGCCGCTGTCGGGTTTCCTGGATGCCGGCGATGTCGACGGCGTGCTTGCGGAGGCCCTTCGCAAGCAGTTCCGCAGCTCCTGGGGCCTTCAGGGAGAGCGCATTGTACTGAAGGACCTTCAGGTCCAAGAGCACTGGCTTAACTTCGAGGTCGGGTGCAGGCATGCAGAACGGTCTCTGGAGGTCGTCTGACGCCACAACAGAGCAGTAGGCGCGGTCCCAAGTCCCCGCATCGTTTAGCGGAGGCAAGCTGCTAGCCGTGAGGGGGTGTCTCGGCACAAGCCAAAGATGATCGACGACCCCTTCAGCAATGGCCATCCATAACGGCTGAAATGTGCCATGCGCTTCGAGGGAGGGGTTTTTGCCGACAGCTTTGGCAAGGGCATCGGCGAGACCGTTAAGCGCGCAACCTGCATGAGCGAGCACCTTATGGAGAAAGAGGCCTTTGCTCTGCATGGCTATAAGGGCCCGCATGCTGACAGTGGCTCGCGCAGTGAGGTCCCATTCAGCAGTGGCCGCAAGCCCCTGTGCGACAGTCAGGGCGGCGTCGCAGTCGGCGCCGACGTGCGCAGCCCGGCATGGCACACTAGCAATGACAGCAAAGGCGTGCAAAATCGCTTCGATTTCGCCGTCAAAGGCAGATGGCAGCCTGGCATGCATTGGGCCATGGTTTGCAGGTCCTTGGGCCGCTCCGGCACGGGCTCCGACCCGCACAATGTTGCCGTCCTGGAGTGCAACGATGACAACGGCCCACGTGGCCCGTGGCGCCTCATCAAAGTATGAGCCATCCGTGAAAACGAACAGTTCATCACAAGGCGACTCTGGTCGCCAGGCGGGAAGGCGTTGCCAGAGGCGTAGAAGAGAGGCATCGATCTTTGGGTATAGGCCTCTGGCTGCATTGCAAATTGGGTCAGACCGTGGTCCTCGAGGCAGTGCAGCAAAATGTCATGGTTGACCCCCCAGGTAATGGCTGGTGGGGACGGGGGAATGTGGTCTGCAAGGCTGATGCGCACACTCTCAACAGAGGTAGCGGGTTGTGGAGCCCGCGGTGAGCTTTGGGCGGTGTGTGGCCTTAGCTGGCGCGGAGCATCCGGAGGGCCCTGAACAGTCAGGGTGTTGCTGCCTCCGGGTGTACCCGTCTTTGTCATTGGTGCGGCATCCTCAGCACAGAGACGTCTCCGACCGAACGGGGTGGGAATGGCCACTGTTTGGAGCTGGGGAAGTCCCACTTTTGGTGGCTGCATGTCTGGCTCCTGAGAATCCTCCTGGGGACGACTCGCTGCAGGGGTGCTGTCGTCTGGCGGTGGATCCTGAGGGCATTGCAGCGCACCGTCAACGCAAGGGCAGTGACGGAGGTCCTCGTGGATGTCACGAAGCTGCTTGCATCGAGCCGCTTGCTTGAGAGCCATATCAGGAAGTTGAGCCAGGGAGGTACCTTCGGTGCCCATGGATGCACTGGAGCTGGGCCTTCGGCGGCCATTGTCCCAAATGATAGCCCCGTGTGCAGCCTGAGCCGGTAGCACGAGCTCGAAACCTCTCCTAACCGGTAACCCAAGGTTCTGCAGCGGCATTCCTACCGGCATGTTCAATTGGAGGAACGTGAGCGTGCTGTCCGGGGCCGTTAGCAGGACTGTGGCCCGGGTGCTGCGGGGAGGGATCGACACGAAAATTTCGACCCCATGCGAAAAAGCACGTGTCTCCGCAAAGCTCGTCACTGGATCGAAAAAGCCTGAGAAAGACAAGAAGAGCAATACTTCGCGCAGGCTGGGTTCCAAAGGGACCGGCATGAACAGCAGGTAGGGTGGATGCGTGGGCCCCATCACAAGTAAAGGCCTGTTGTCGTGCCCTGGCTCACCAACCTCCACCCGGCGCTCAAGCGATCGAAGATGCAAAGTGCGCCTCGCTGCTTCACGGCCCCTTTCAATGGCACCAGGGTCCAGAGGATTCCTGGTCACTGGGGCCATGGAGGGCATACTTAGCGGCATCGCAAAAAGTCGAAGCTCCGGTAGAAGGAAGTACATATGGGCCACCGTAACGACCCTGGCAGTGAGAGGTGGGAGCTGAACCTGGACCAAATCCCCGGTGACAAGATTGCGGTTGGCCGCGGCTCGAGGTACCCCATTAAGAACCGGAGTGAAGCCTCGGCGGGCTTGTGCACTCCCTATCATGTGCTCCAACCGAGTGCCGCTGTCAACAGTGATGGCCTGAAGCATGGTCCCATCCGTGGAGAAGTCTTGCAGGATGGCCACGTCAGTAGCCTCAGTGGCGCTGGGGTAGATCATGAATCCTACCAGCAGCTCATTGGGGCGCTCAGGATTGCGGGGCATCGCAGTGCACAAGGAGATCATGGGGTTCCTTGGCATGCGCCCTTGCCGGGCCATGATGAGCAACATCTCGGCGATGGAGTGCTCCACATTGACTTGCTGAACAGGCTGAGGGGGCTAAGCGGATGAGAGTACCTTCCCCCGCGAGGACAAAGGAGACATGTGTGCCGGAAGACAGCGCCGGCTGCATGGCAGTAGTGGTGGATGTCGTGCCCGTCCACTGGGAGTGTGCCGAGATTGGCGTGAACTGTGGGGCCCCTGGAAAGGCCGCCCGATCGATGCGCACAGTCAGCCATTGGAGAGTGCTGAGGTCATCGGGCAAGGCCTCCCAGACTCTTCCCAGCGCGTCTTGAAGAAAAAGGCCATCAAGAGGCGTCGCGAGATCAACAAGATAACGCGACGCCGGAAAGACAGCTGCAATGCGGTCAAAGACTTCGCTGCAGGGCATTCCCGGTCGTAAAAGCAGTGCCAGTACGGGTCCTCCCATGTGCCTGGCATCAATAGGTAGAGTGAGGGAAGTTGCCGGGACCCCCGCAGGAGTCAAGGTGAATTGGGGCGTGGGAAGGCCCGCAATTGCAACAGTGATGACCTGAAAAATCGCTGTGGGTTCTGGCGCATTCAGCACTGCGTCTGCAGCGTAGTCTTCAATGGTCCAGTCAGCCGCCGCTTTCCTGACACTCGTATGCCTTTGCCTGTCGAAAAGTGCGTATCTGCGCTCGGCACCCGGGTGTTCCTCCGAGGCGCAGTACAAATTGAGTTGCCCAGCAGGGATCCGTAAGGCGGCCGGGGTGGCCCATCGCTCAGGGAGGATCTTGTAGCTAGGGTTTTTGTCGGCCCATAGACTAGCCCTTGGTGGGCCAGCTGTCGAGAGCAGGGATGGCGGATTGACAGGCACAATGATTGGACGCTCAAGAGGCCCTTGGCACTCAGTAGGCAAGCAGTAGGTGGGGCCCTCTAGGTCCGGGCTCTCTTTGGCAGTGTGCGAGCTGGGGCCTCCCGCGTGAGACTGTAGGAGAAAGGCAACATCACCTTCCTCCCCCTCTGCTGGGTCCTGGGCAAGAATGTCATTGGCAGGGTTGTGGTCACCTGGAATGCCTCTCACAAAGTCGAAGGGGGGAACACCAGCTGCCGGAATAGCAGCCAGGGAACCATCTGGCACTGTCAGGTGGAATGGTCCCCGGGGCAAACGTGTCGGATCGCAGCTGTGAACACACAGTGCCTGCAGTAGGTCAGGGCGGCATGCCCTTGGAGCATCGATGGTGCAAATTCTGCCTTCGGCACTGCGGAGGTCTAGGGGCGTAGTAAAGACCCCTGGCTCAGCTGCTCGGAGAGTCGCAGTGACTTGTACTGCAGGCAAGTGGGGTAGGCGGTCGGTGTGGAAACGCACCGATCGCACCTGTGGCAGAGTGCCCATGATATCTGCCACGATGTCATTGAGGCTCCAGCCAGCTGGGAGCCGGCGAACACTGGCATGGCTGGTAGTATCGAACAGAACGTATCGGTCCTGCTGTCGGACATCCGCATGTGCGCCAGACGCCCTGTGCCTCGTGGCCCAGCTGAAAGTCGTGACCGGGCTGTTGCGAAGTTCTGGGCGGTCAAGGTGGTCAGGAAGGACTTCCACCCGAGCAGCCATGCCAAGTCGGACCAAAGAAAAGGGCGTAGATGAGGGCCGCACGGGGGTTGCAGCGGGTCTCGATGAGCTGGCCGTGCTCGCAACAGGCGGCACAGGCAGGGCTGAGGTGCACGCGACAGGCGGCACACTCGCGCAATTATCATGGCCAGTGTAAGTGGTCAGAAATGGCGTGTGTCTCTGACCAGGGCTGTGGTCCGGAGTAGATCCCCAGCAAGGGCGGATTGCAGTGCTAGCAGCGGGCTGCACATGCTGCAGTCGGATAGGGTTTGCAAGGGTATCCGACCGGCTGAGAGGGGTCACCTGGAGAGCCTCAGCCTTGGAGAGCCTGCCTCGAACCTGGGACTGGCAGGTAAGATGTGTGGCGGTGCGCGCAACAGGCGGCACACGCAATACAGAGTGGGTGCACTCAACAGGAGGCACACCAGCTGGCTCAGGCCTGGGCGAAGAAACCTCCGAGGGCGGAGGAAGGGCATTGCACTTGAAGTCAGCAGAGTCCGCTGACCGACCAGGGAATCGAGACTCCCAAGGTGGGGGAGTCATGGGAACGGCCTGCCTAAGAGGGGCCGGAACAGAGGGATGGTCGGCTACAAGGATGCCCGGAAGCCCGGAGGCAATGCAAGGTTTGGAGTGGGGTCGGAGTCGTTGCCCCACGGGGAAGAGCTCAACATCAGGGAGGAGCTGGAACCTGACACGCCTACAATGCTTTGTACATATTTTACAAGAAGCCTGTACAGTTTGTACAGCCTCAGCAGCGGGTCCTGGCCTCGTGGCAAGGCTCTGCAGCGTAGCCCCAGGCCTGTCTCCCTCTGCATCAGACTCAACAGCCGTCGGGACCATGTGACAGGCCGGAATCCGGAAAGAGGAAGCGCAGGCACCAGTAGCGCATACAGAGACCTGCTCGGGGTCACAGGGCACTGAAGGTGTTTCGCTGATGCACCGGTCCAGCAAAAGGGAGGTAAATGGACCAGAGTGCGTCCGTGCATCTTGCCAGCGAGTATGGCACAGCCCATCTGGCATGCACCATTGCGTAGCAACATCAAAACTGTGCGCAATTCCCAGAAGACGGCAGGCCAAAGGTCCCATGCAGTCTGGTTCATTCAAGATGCTATGTCGCGGCCCATACGCAGCTGCTGCGCCTAGGCCTTGCCAGGGTGTTGTTCCGGCTCCTTGGAGACAGCCGGCCCACCCAGCTTGAAGGGCGTAGCAGCCGCTCCAGATTGCGCAGACTGACCTTCGTTGGTCAAGTCCACGTCCACCGGCTCCGCGCTGTCGGTGCGCCGCCGCGGGGTACGGGAACCCTCGCGCTTGCTGGCAGACAGGTGCTCTTCCGCTTGTCGCCTGGCGACTTGGAGAGCTGCATGTAACTCCTGTCCCGCCTTCTGCTGTTGTTCCTTTTCTGCACGCAGCTTCACCTCGGTCTCGGCTGCATCGCTGGTGCGGGCTTCCGCATCCAGCATGTCCTGATCCTCCTCCAGGCCTGCGTTGTCCTTGGAGGCCATGCGGGAGATCGCGAGCGTCGCCTCTCTCTCCGCAGAGATCCAGTCCACCTCCGCAGCATTGTACTTGTCCAGGATCTCTTCTTGCTCTGTCAGTTGCTTCTCCAGCAGAGTAGTAATGTGGTCGATGTAATCCCGCCACGAGGTGAGGTACTGCGAACGATGAACGCGTACCTTCTGTAGCTCGGCCCTGGCACGGCTCTGGTCCGCAACTGCACGGTGCAGCGACCGTGCTATCCCCTGTGCCGAAGCCTGCTGATGTTCCGCCACCAAGGCACGCACAGATTCCGGCACTGACGTGCCCGCGGCAGATAGAGCTGCCACCAGCGCCTCGAGCTGCGCCTTCTCCGGAGGCACATTCGGGCCCTGGGTCTCGGCCGGCTTTCGCGGTAGCGACGGCGTCGCTGCCGTCGGGGCCGACGGTAGGTCTGCCGAGGAAGGGGCCGGCGCCTGCACTGGCGTTGTCTTGCCCTTGCCCTTCCCCTCGGCCTTGCCTCCGGTCGGCTGGCCTCCCTTTGGCGCCGATCCTTTGGGCGCGCCATGGGGGCGCTGTTGACCCCCTCCTCGCCGCTTCCTCGGCGAGTAAGGTCGCTGCTCCGGTTCTCGCCATGGCATCGGCTGGCTCGGCTGGGCATACGAGGCATCCCAGCCGGCCCAACCTTGTCCTCCTCTCTGGCGCGGGGAGGCACTTCTCGCACGTTGCCAAGGCGTTCCGCAAGCTGGGCAAAAGGATGCGGAGTGCTTGTTCAGACTCCCACACCCACACTTCCAGGATTGACTCATTGTCCTTCTGGAAAGCTGTCGTCCCAATCGTTGGCGCGCAAGTGCTGGTAGAGTACTCGCCGAGTGGTGTTGCTCCAACCCAGCAATGGCGCCACGTATCACCGGCACTGAATATTGAATTCCAGTGAGGTAGGTCCGCAAAATCGTCCGGGCAGAGGTACGATGTCTCCGCTTCCGGCGGTGCCACGAGGGCTCTCCGGCCCTCCTGAAACCCCAGAACGCAGCCACACCTGAAAAGGATGTAGAGTGCAAGGGCCCAGAAAAGCATCCACGAAGTTGCACCAAGATTCCAGCCTCAAAAGAGGGGAAATATACCAGTGACCTCGCCTCCTAGAAGGTACAGCGAGGTATGGAGGAGGAGCGGGCCTCCAACCCAAGATCCAGCCTCACAAGGAGGGGATATCAAACAAAAACCGTGCCTCGCCGAGCGTAGAGCACAAATGAGCAACCGTCTCCCCCTGTCACAGGGGCCGGAGACGGGTGGAGTGGGCCTCACAAAGGCCTCACGTGGGTTCCTGGCAGCGGAAAGGTGGACCACAAGGGAAACTACACCTAACCTGAAGCCAGAACGCCTAAGGTTTGTGGTTTAGGGTTCAGGGTTGAGGTCTAGCGGGTTTCCGTTGAGTTTGGAGGCACGGGTTTTGTATGTGTGCTACGGGGTTTTGTGAGCTCGCAATCCTTCGCCCTTCGACATTCCCGAGGCCAAGAGGCTGGTTCTGAACTTATAGGAACCTCACGGTTGAAGGGTTGTTAATGACGGCTTTAGGGTAACAGGTTTAGGTCGGCAAGTCGCAAATAATTCTGGCCTTAGGTTGTGGGGAGTGAGTATTTCAGAGATCCGGCTAACCCTAAACCCTAAGCCCTACGTAAACGGATCTGCTGGTCGAAAAAGGGGCGCTTACAAAAAAAGCCTACCCTAAACCCTAAACCCCTATACCCTAAACCCTAAACCACTTAAACCCTAAACCATGCGCCGGCCGCGCCTCCATGAGGTGATCCTGTGCCCAGCAGCCGGTCGGCTACTGCAGCCGTTGCACATGGTGGCTGCTTGGACCTCTCAAGGAAGAAACATCTGAGAGCTCAGAGAATCACGAGCTTTACTGCAAAACTGTAGGGACTCATTTTGGCGGGATTTGCTCAGATTATGGTTGCTGTCTTGAATTAAGACCTCTCAAGGAAAAATTGGCCAAGTTGATCCCTGATCCCCAAACCCTTTCGAGGTTGAGGGTTTATGGTATTGAGGGTCTTTAGGGTTTGGGGTTCAGGGTGTAGTTTATTTAGGGTTAGCGCTCAGGGTATTGAGGGCTCGGGGTTTAAAAGGATCCCCAAACTCTCAACCGTTAAGCCTCAAACCCCGAAACCTACGCCCTCAACCTTCCAAGCCGGAACTACCCTAAGGCTCCTAAGAGGGTTTTGTGCTTTCTGGGGGAGGGTTTCGGCTTTGGGGGCTAGGGTTTGGGATCTCACCACAAGGGTCCGGGAGCCTTAGAGTAAACCCTGAACCCTAAGCCCTGAAGCGACGGAGGTGTCCCTTCGGCGGAGGGCTGCGTCGAAATCAGCGACTCAGAGAGCTCTGCAGGCTTGAGGTTAAGTTTAGTAAACCAGCACAGAGACCCCTTGACCCTAAACCTTAAACCCTAAACCTCAAACCCTAAACCCTAAACCTCAAACCCTAAACCCTAAACCCTATAAGCCCTACACCCTTCACCCTAAACTCTATAAACCTTACACCCTACACCCTACACCCTAAACCAGAGGGCTTCTTGAGGGCCGAGGCCTGGGGGATTTCTGCTTGCCGGTGTGCGGTTGAAGTGGTCGGGGTCGCAGACCATCGTAGCACGGTTTAGGGTTTAGGGTTTAAGGTTTCGGGTTTAGGGTTTACTGGGCTCAAGTTCTTCATCACTAGGATGCCCAGTAGTACCCTCATTCCCTTTTTGTAGTCCTAGGTTCTTATAAAGTTACCCAATAGCCCAGAAAGGGAGCCCTGTTTATTCCGAGGTCACTGGGCATCCTAGATCATGTTTGCAGTTCCGAGGGTCGTGGCTGGTCCCCTCAACCCTAAACCCAATCTTTCGGCCCTTAGCCCCTTTAATTTAGGAGTCTTCTTCTGCAGCTCAAACCGCAAACAACTAGTTGAAGAGTCTACACCCTGTATCCCGAACCCTTAGTCGTACTTGAAGGCTCTTTTGACCCAGACTGCCTTGCTGGTACCCCCTGCTATTTAAAACTTCAACAGGCCCACGATAATCCCCACAGCCCATCATTCTGACCTTACTCACCCAACAGCGGAAGAGCCACCGAAATCCTAAAACTGCTTTGTCGCTCTTCGCCTGGACGTGAGGATCTGCCTCCAGGCGTACGTACGTCGGATCTCCTTAAACTACCAAAGCCTGGCTTCTGAGCGTAAACTCCAGCTATGGAATTTCAGAGGGACCCTACCGAAAGATAGGCTTTGGTAGTTTCCTTATGCTTTCGAAACCTAGATTTTTTGTAGGCTTCCGAGTATAGCCCTAGCTATGGAATATTAGGGTCCCTACAAAAAGGCAGGGCTTCGGTAGTTTAAGTTTAGGCTAGATCCTGAAAGTCTTCACTGCTGCTTGCTGTGGATTTATAATCTCGGCTATTTGCTAAGCTCAAGCTATCGAGTCGGTACCCAACAGTCCCGGAAAGGATCTAGAAAGTAGAACCCGCAACTTGGGACCATGTTACACCATTACAGGGTAGTTATAGGGGGGTAGTTATAGGGTGTTATACTATGATAGGGTAGTTATAGGCTTTTATACCATTAGAGAGTAGTTATAGGGACATTCATTAGGGTTTTGGCGTTCTGTGTTTGTTTGGTAATGTAAGGGTCTTCGTAGTTGGAGACCTGGGAGTGAAAAGAGTCGCGATCGAGTTTGGGACCCTGAATGGGGGTTTCCGAACATTAGGGGTAGCATATGTTGGGGTCATTTGGGGTCCTTATCATAAGGATCCTACTATTTAGGGATAAATACTTCCTAAACCCTACCCTAAGGCTCCTAAGCGGGCTTCGGGCTTTCTGGTGGAGGGTTTCGGCTTTGGGGGCTAGGGTTTGGGATCTCACTACAAGGGTCCAGGAGCCTTAGGGTGAACTCTTACAGCTCTAAATCTTTAACTCCTAAATCCTCAACCCCAGACATAAAGCCTAAACCTTGGGTACTGCCCCCACTCAGTAACAGTTGGAAAGTATTCATAAGATTGATCTATTCGGACCTCAGTAGTAGCCCCATTATAGACTGTTACTGTAAGGGGGCAGTACCCAACCTCAACCCCAAATCCCAAATCATAGGGATCGGAGCGGACGGTCTGAACGGCTAAGCCGAGGTAATGAGGCTAGTGGATTCCCACACTGGGGCGGTGAAAGTGCAGCGTGAAAAGATCATCGGCGTGCAGAAGGACGTCTATGAAGGCCGTGGCTCCTAAAAACCCCAAAGCCTAAACGGAACCCTGAACAAAGCCCATGGCCTGTCGCCGAAACCCCATCCAACAAAACACGAACTCGATAAGCCGAAAAGTTCGAGCTTTCAGTGTATGATCAAGACAGTTTTCAGCAGAAGATCTACGGAAAGCTCGATGATAAACATGCAAGGGGAAGGACGCAAGATCACCCGGAAACGAAAACAAACCTCGTCTGAACCCCAAACGCACAACGACGTAAGTCATCTATCGGGTCCTAAACCGTGCCATCTGTCCCTGGACTCTGCAAAGGGGCCCAACGAAACGAAATCAGAGGCAACGAGTGGCAAAGCGGAGTGCCCTTGTCATGAGGAGATGGTGATGCTGATAGTTTCTCGGGTTTCGTTTTAGGTTTATAGGGTTTAGGACTTGGGGTGTAGGATGACCATGGTGGTGAGTCTAGGTCTGGTGTTGATCAGCGAGACGTTCAAAGTGCAACTATCATTGGCATAGCAGTCGCTTCAAAGAGGACGTTCAGCATCAAGCATAAACATGATGCCATTGGCGATGATGTTGCCAGGCGGTGCTTGTGCAGATAAGTTTGGTGCTAGTGACAAGTGATGAACACATGCCTATTCCGGTGACGACTATGATGTTGGTACTGATGGCAGTATAGAACCCTGAGTATTTAGTACTCCCAGTTACATTGGGGTTCTGGTTAGACCAATTTCTGCTGTAGCATACCCTAAGACCCTATTCAGCTAAGCATTTATAAATGTGATGCACAAGTCATGTGAAGCTGTATTCGCCTCGGACGTTTGTGTGTGCTTACACCCTAAGGCCGTATGGTAGCTGCTATGACATCGGGATCTTGTATAATTCTATACGTATCAAAGGTTTAATTGCCGCAGCCTCGGAAACTGTCGACCCTATCCTTCCCTGGAAACCTTTAAGGCCCAATCCCGCATTGAACGCCGGGGCTTTGATTGCTCAACACCACAAAGGTGACCCCTGTCCCCAGAGCCCTGGACCCTAAGCAACCAAACTCCACATCCCTGACACCAAAAACTACGTAAACCCAAACACCGGAAGCCTAAACCCCTGAACCCCCAAACACCAAATCCCCAAGCCGAAACGCCTGCATAAACCCAACACCCCGAAACCCTATAAAGTTTTTGCTGAAAAACGGTTTTGCGGCTCGCGATTCAGGTGAAAAGCTTTAGGTTTCGGGTTTAAGGTTCAGGGTCCGATGGAGCCGTGTGTTTTAAAGCTTAGGGATGCTTGTAGGGCCCTAAACCCCCCTAAACCCTAAACCCTAAATCGATGCTAGTAGAGGGGCTTTCGGGACGCAGGTGTCCTCTGGCTGATGGTCGCTACTACCGAAGGGCTTACCGAGATCCGCGCGTGGGACGTGTCTTCGGGTCAGGCGCGAGGTTTCACCGGGCACGGGGTTTGGGGGTTTAGGGTTAGGGTGGTTTGGGGGGTTTAGGGGTTTAAGGGTTTAGGGGTTGAGGGGTTTAAGTTTAACGGTTTAGCTTTGGGGGGTTTAGGGCTTCGAGCCAGAGCTGAGATAATTACCAACACTGTGTTGGGGTTCTGGTTATGATTTTGGTCCAGTGTACCCCAAAGCCCTATTCCAATAATTAACGCCCCTAGTGGCCCTAGAGTTTGTTTGTGCTTCTGTGTGTTGGAAACCCCAAACCTTAAACCCTAAAACCCTAAACCCCAAAACCCTAAACCCTAAACCCCCAAACCCTAAACCGTGGCCAAGGAGCGGCTTGGAAGCTTTAGGATGGTTTTCATGTTCCAAAAGCTCAAAGCCGTTTCGATCAGGGTCCTACTTGCGGCTTA